AAAAAAAAAAAGAAAGAAAAATATAAATAAATACAAGCTAATATTTCACAAGTGAAGTTTTAGAATTTTGGGATGAAATTTTTGATTGCCTGACCTTTGTATTTATAAAGTTTACATTCTAAGAGAGAAGACATGTGTATCTGAAATTATCAGTCAGCTGTTGGTCTGATCATTCGAAGAATTCCTTTTTCACTGGTGATTTGGTATGTGTGTTTCCATCTGTCACTTCCTTTTTCTCTATGTCATTAGCTCCAGATGGGCAAAAACTTCAACTCATTTTATGACTGTCTGAAACTTGTGTTCTGCATAAGTGCTAATATATACTGGGTCATTTTCTGTTGGTCTAATAAGCAGACACAAATTTCTGATTCTAATTTTTTTTTTTTTTGGTAGTTGTAGATGGACAGCAATGCCTTTATTTGTTTCATTTTTATGTGGTGCTAAGGATTGATACCCAGTGCCTCACACATGCTAGGCAAATGCTTCACCACTGAGCCACAGCCCAAATTGTAGTTTTTTATGGATGATGTGGGGACGAGAGAGAGCCCACGAAATATGATTACGGGTTAATGGGTATGCAGAAAATTATTATTTTTATTTATGTATGACAGTGGAATGCATTACAATTCTTATTATACATATAGAGCCATATCTCTGGTTATATACAAAGTATATTCACACCAGTTTGTGTCTTCATACATGTACTTTGGCTAATAATAATCATCACTTTCCACCATCATTTATAACCCCATGCCTTCTCCCTTCCCCTCCAACCCCTCTGTTCCTCCCAGGCTTCCTATCCCTCTCCCACTGTGAATTAGCCTCTTTATATCAAAGAAAATATTTGGCATTTGGATTTTTGGGATTGGCTGACTTCACTTAGCATTATCTTCTCTCACTCCATCCTTTTACCTGCAAAGGCCATGATTTTATTCTCTCAGAATTATTTTTAATCCTGGCTTAAATACATTAAGTGTTATATGGATGTTTAAAAATTCTTCAGATGGATCTGGGAATGTAACTCAGTTTTAGAGTTCTTGCCTGTGTACACAAGTACCTGGATTTAATTCTGAGTGCGCGCGCATGCGCGCGCACACGCACGCACACGCACACACACACCCCTACCTTACAGGAATTTATTTTCTTGTTGACATAAATACTTTGGGGAGGGCTGGGGTTGTGGCTCAGTGGTAGAGTTCGTGCTTAGCAAGTTCGAGGCCCTGGGTTCGATCCTCAGCATCACATAAATAAAATAAAGGTATTTTGTCCCAACTACAGCTAAAAAATAAATATTAAAAAAAAATGCTTTTGGGAAAGTGTTTGAAATGATCAGTGATATCGAATCTGAGTTCACTCATGACTTGGTGAAGATTAGCTTCTTTTTTTTTTCTTTTTGAGTACCAGGGATTGAACTTGGGGGCACTCAACCACTGAGCCACATCCCTAGCCCTGTTTTGTATTTTATTAGAGACAGGTTCTTACTGTGTTTCTTAGCATCTCGCTAAATTGCTGAGGCTGGCTTTGAACTCGCGATCCTTCTGCTTCCACCTCCCGAGCTGCTGCACCACACTGCGTCCAGCCTAGCTTCATTTTTTAACAAAACCTACATTCTGATTGTTACTGGAGTTGTGTTAGTAATAAGTAAAAACCTGGCTGGATCTCTCAAGGTCGTGAGAAAAGTGTAAATTTGGAAGAATAGCAGCAGAGACCCCCAAGTTCTCAGAGGTTTATTCTCTTCTGTTTCTGGTTTGCTAATACCAGACCAACCATTTTGCACCCTGACTTGCACCACCTTGGAGTGAAGTGAAAACTGAAAATCTGAAAAAGGGTTTGAAGACTTGAGGCAAAGGTTAAAAACAGGTTGGGTATCCCTTTATTGTGGAGGTAGGATCAAATGCTATTAGTTGCAGTGGATAAGAGAAGTTTCTGTTGTTGTTTGTTAATATTATGTCAGCTGGTGTCTGCCTGTGTGGTTCTGCAAATGGAATTCAATATGCCATATCAAATTAGGAAAAGTTCTTATACATAAACACACTGTTCGTGTATTATATTTCACAAATTGAGATAAAGACACTTCAGGACATATTCCAAATTATTTGTACTATTATCCATGAAAGAACTATTATGTTTTTTTTTAATTGCTCTGTTCTAAAGATGCCATATTTTCTTTTTTGAGCATATTATTAACCTTTTATAATATATAAATCAGGTCATGAGAGTCTGACTATTGTTTGACAGTCCTTAAACCAAAAAAAAAATAAAAAGGTAAGGTATTCTCTGATTTATTTTTTATTTTTGTGGTACTGGGGATTGAACCCAGGGCCTTGTGCATGCAAAGCAAGCACTCTAACAAGTGAGTTATATCTCCAGCCCTGTAAGGTATTCTTTAAGATAGACTTAAGTAATTCCTCCCAAACTCTCCACTGGGGTACTAGGAATTGAACCCAGCAGCACTTTACCACTGAACTACATCCCCAGCCCTTTTTATTTGGAGATAGGTTCTCATTAAGTTACCGAAACTGGCCTCAAACTTAATAATTCTCCTGCTTTAGCCTCCCAAGTATCTGGAATTACAGTTTTGTGTGCTTCAATGCCTAGCTCAGAATCATTAGGTATTTTTTTGTTTTAGTATTTATTTTTTAGTTGTAGTTGGACACAATACCTTTATTTTATTTATTTATTTTTATGTGGTGCTGAGGATTGAACCCAGGGCCTTGCATATGCTATGCAAGCACTCTACTGCTGATCTACAACTGCAGCCCCCAGATCATTAGTTTATAATTGATGGACTTATAGCTGAGAATCTATTTGGTATTATTTGTATTTATAAAAGCTGACCTCAGGGCTAGGATTGTGGCTCAGAGGGAGAGCACTCACCTTGCATGCATAACACACTGGGTTCTATCCTCAGCACCACTTAAAAATTAAAAAAAAAAAAAAACGGATATTGTGTCCACCTATAACTAAAAAATAAATATTTTAAAAAAGTAAAATAAAAGCTGACCTCATGTTTTTTTTTAACCAGTTTTGTGCCACATTACTTTTCACTCACACAGAAGGAGTAGATCATTTACAAGCTATTGACATATATTTATTGAAAACTCATTTGCGTATTTTAAATTCGGTATCTGAAAAATCAAAAAGGGTGGGGGTACTCTTAATAATAAGCTTTTTTTTTTTTTTAATGGAGCTAAGTTTTTGATGACTTCCCATTGTCTGAAGGATTTCTGTAGGGAACAAGCAGGTAATTTCTTGCTATACTTTTAGGAGTTTTCTTTTAGGCTTCTATATTTCCCTAATTGTATTAAGCTAAATAAATCTCTTAACTGAGTTTGATATTAATGTGATGTGTCTTTTTTTTTTTTTTTTTTGGTGGAGAGGGAGAGAGAGAGAGAGAGAGAGAATTTTTTAATATTTTTTTTTTTTTTTTTGGTGGTGCTGGGGATTGAACCCAGGGCCTTGTGCATGCAAGGCAAGCACTGTACAAACTGAGCTATATCCCCAGTCCCTATATGATATGTTTTAATGTATCTTTTTTAAAAAAAATTTTAACACAGACTAACCAAAAAACTTGAAGAGAGGAGAGAAGAGAAGAGGAAAGAGGAAGAACAGGTAAAAATCATGCACCTAGTATTGTCTTCAGTCAGGGAATTTCAGATTATTCTGTTCGATTTGGCAGACATAGGTTGGCTTCCTTTATCATGTTGTTCTAATGTTATAGTTAAAGAATTGTTTTTGTACTCAGATCATAGTGTATACTTTTGTATGTTCTTTTGTAAATTGCTCAGAATAGATTGAATCATTTTTTTTTCCCTGCAATGAGTCTTTTACACTAATATAAAGGGACTTGAGCTAAAATTATTTGACTCAAGGCCAAAGATAAATGTTTAGTTCAAATGCATAGACATTCTGCTGAATTTTTTCTTATGTTGTGGCACCCCTAGTGCATTTTTGTCACCATGTACACCTGGTATACACCTTGAGTGAAGTGAAAACTCCATATATTATTTCTTTGTTATTTGATTATAAGAAGGTTATTTCCTTCAAGCCAAGTAAATCATCGTCATGTTGTCTCTAGAAACCAAAGACTAATTATACTCTGAACCCAACTACTAGCAAAAATTTATAAATTGATAGACTTTGACCATTAACCATGCTATTAATAATTTCATTTTACATTTTACAAAGTTCTATTTTTAACTAGACCCTCAACCAGCTTTCTCTAAATCTTATTTAAAAGATGATCTGCATCAGATTATCAAATTATGTTTGGATTCATAAAACGTACTTTCTCTTTGATTCAGAGAGAGATTAAGAAGGAAATCGAGAGGAGAAAAACTGGAAAAGAAATGTTGGATTATAAAAGAAAACAAGAGGAAGAATTAACAAAAAGAATGTTAGAAGAAAGAAACAGAGAGAAGGCAGAAGATAGGGCTGCTCGAGAACGAATAAAACAGCAAATTGCATTGGTGAGTCTTAAGTTCATTTTTAATGCTTGACTCCAGGACATCTGTTAAAATATTTTTCTATGCACAGTGGTTTTGGATTAGAACCAGATGGTGCACAAAAACATGATAGATATTAGCAACTCAAAAAGAGTATCAGTCCTGACCTTTACTTTATTGGAAATTACATATTGAATTTAAATAGTTAAGGTTAAAATTAAGAGATAATTTTTTCAAAGTAATTTTTCTCCATGTTCTGTTTTATCAGTTAAAAGACAACTTACAAAAATTCCCTAGAAACAAACTAAGCATTAGTTGCCTAGCTGTCTCTATTTGAAAGTATTCTTTTTTGGAATATTCAAAGGATTCACTCACATAAAGCTTAGGAAGGGGGTTGCAATAATTGCTTTTATTTTATTTTGTTATGTATTTTTTTAGTTGTAGTTGGACATAATAACTTCATTTTATTTATTTATATTTATGTGGTGCTGAAGATCGAACCCAGCACATCACAGGGCGTGCTGGGCGCATGCTCTACCACTGAGCCACAACCCCAGCCCTGCTTTTATTCTTATTTATTTATTCATCTGTCTATCTGTCTACTTATTTAATATTTTGTGGTGCTGGGGATTGAACCCAGGGCCTTGTGCATACAAGGCAAGCACTCTACCAACTGAGCTATTTCTCTAGCCCAATGAACCTTTATTTTATTCATTTATTTATATGTAGTGCAGAGAATCAAACCCAGTACCTCACACATGCTAGACAAGCATTCTAAAACTGAGCCACAATCCTAGCCCAATAATTGCTTTTAGAATTAAGTAGTTGTAATACATATGAAAACTATCCCTACCTTAATGTTTATTATTTCTTTAGTCACTCAGCAAATATTTATTGAGTATCTACTTTGTGCCAGACCTCATTCCAGGCTCTGGAAATGTAGTGATGAGTAAATTCATATCTATGTCTGTCTGTCTAATCACAAGTCTTGCTCCTGACAGTTGGTAAGATTTAAAAATACCAGATCCAGAACAATTGAAGTTCACACATCACTTTAAGGAATTCCACACATATTTGTGTTTGTTCTGTGTAAGTAGATCATCCTGGCAGGGACGGTAATTAGTGTCTAATAATGTTTTAATTAAAAGGACCGTGCAGAGAGAGCTGCTCGTTTTGCAAAGACAAAAGAAGAAGTAGAGGCTGCCAAAACTGCTGCCTTGTTGGCCAAACAGGCAGAAATGGAAGTCAAGAGGGAATCCTATGCACGAGAAAGAAGGTACTTCTTACTGTGTTTCATCCTGAAACATCTGTGCACGTGGGGGATGGTTAATATTTATTTGTATTTTCATGTTGGGTAATTAGCAAGTATTATACTTTTATAATTGGGAAAATTTACTTTTTTTAAAAAAATAATGTTTTGGGGTACTTAGGATAGAATCCAACAGCATTCTGCCTCTTAGTTTAATTTTTTAAATTTTATTTTGAGTCAGGGTTATAAACTTATTTTAAACAATTTTTCAGAAATATCAAAACACTTACTAAAATATATATGTAAGATGTTTATATACTAAAATGTCTTAAAACCGCTGGATTTGCTGATACACGCCTGTAATTCTAACTACTTGGAAGACTGAGGCAGGAGAATCACAAATTCAAGGCCAGCCTCAGCAACTAATAAGGCCCTAAGCAGCTTAGAGAGAGAGACTGTCTTAAAATATCCCTATCAAAATTCCAGCTGGCTTTTTTGGCAGAACTTTTTTTTTTTTTTTTAACTTTTATTTATTTTTATGTGGTGCTGAGGATCAAACCCAGGGCCTTGCACGTGCTAGGCAAGTGCTGTACTGCTGAATCACAACCCCAGCCCCTTTGGCAGAACTTTTAATCCCCCAATTTTTATAGAAATGCAAAACATTCTGAAAAAAGAACAAAGTAGGAAGGACTCAAAACTTCTCAATTTTAAAACTTAATACAAAGCTACAGTAACCAAGACATTGTCATACTTTCCTAAGGATTGTCATATGGATCAGTGTAATAGGGTTGAACCTTCAGGAATTTGAATTTACAGTCTGTTTGTTTGTTTGTTTGTTTGGTACCAGGGACTGAACCACAGGTGCTCAAACACTGAACTATATCCCCAGCTCTTTTTTGTTTTATCGTGAGACAGGGTCTCACTAAATTGTTTAGGGCCTTGCTAAGTTGCTGAGGCTGGTTTTGAACTTGTGATCCCTCCAGCTCAGCCTCCTGAGTTGCTGGGATTGTAGGTATGTGCTGTTGTACCTGGCAAAGTTAAGATAGCCAAAGATAGTGGGAAGAATAGTCTTTTCAACAATTGGTGCTTTTGACAAAACTACATAAAGTATAAATTCTTAGGAGTAATTTTTTGTGATTTCCAAGGAAAGTACAGAAATGTTCTTTTAAGTATGTGTATTTATTACTTCACTAGGAAAATCAATTAAAACCACAATAAGTAGCTGAATGTGTAACTCAGTGGTTACACTTGCCTTGAATGCACAAAGCCCTCCTTCAATTTCCTAGCACTGCACCCCTCTACAAAAACAAAAACAAAACAGTACAATTCTATACCTCCTACAATGCTAGAACTTATAATAACAAGTGTTGGTGAGGAAATGGAGAATTTAGAAACTTCCCACATTACAATGGGATTGTACAATCATATAGTAACTTTGGAAAACAGTATGGCAGTTTTTTGAAATGTTAAGTGTAATGTTAGCTTATGACCTAGTAATCACTCTTTTTTTGTTTTTTCTTTCTTCTGAGATATTGAGGATTGAACTCAGGGCCTCCTACAAGCTAGTGAAGTATTCTACCATAGAGCTATATCCCCAACCCTCAGCAGTCATTCTTCAGTATATATACACAAGAGGATTCAAAATGTTCACACAAAAACCCAAACTAAAATTGAGTTGTTTTTATTTTGAGACGAGATCTTTCTAAGTTGCTGAGGCTAGTCTTTTTTTTTTTTTTAATTCTTTTTTTATATACCTTTATTTTATTTACTTATTTTTATGTGGTGTTGAGGTTCGAACCCAGGGCCTTTCACGTGCTAAGCGAGCACTCTACCACTGAGCCACAACCCCGGCCCCTGAGGCTAGTCTTAAACTTGTGATCCTACTACCTCAGCCTCTCAAATAGCTGAGATTATAGGCATGTGTCGCAGTACCTAGCTGTTATCAGCATTATTCATAATAGCCAAAATGTGGTGATAACCCAGCTGAAGAATGGGTAAACAAAATATATATTCCATGTGATGGAATAGTATTAAGCAATAAAGAGGAATGATGTATGCATGAATGAGCTTCAGAAACATGATGTTATGTGAAATAAACTAGAAGTCTATATACTGTGTGATTCTCTTATAAAAAGCTATATCCCAAAATAGGCAGATTCATAGAAGCAGTAAATTGTTGCCAGGAACTGGGGGAGGAAGGAATTGGGAATGCTGGCTAATGGTTCTGGGTCTCTTTTGGGATGATGAAACATTCTTGAATTAATAGTGATGGTTGCACACCTGAATATATTAAAAGCAAGTGAGGGGGCTGGGGATATAGTTCAGCTAGTAAGTAGTGTGCTTGCCTCTCATGCACAAGGCCCTGGGTTTAATCCCCAGCATCACCAAAACCAAACAAAAACAGTGAATTACAATTTCATGAACTGCAACCCTTAGTTTGGCTGGATGGTCAGGGACTGGAAAGGGTCATGATTAGAGAATTGGTGACAAAGACATTTGGAGGAAGAGGTATGTGGATATACCTCTCTGGGCACAAGACATGAAAATATTTGTGTCCCATGTGAATGCTCACCAAAGGGTGACCTCAGCAGAGACAGAGTAATAATAAATTGAATGGGACACCCCCCCCAAAAAAAAAGTGAATTATGCACATTAAAATGTTGAATTATGGGCTGGAATTGCAGCTCAGTGGTAGAGTGCTTGCCTGGCATGTGTGAGGCACTGAGTTCAATCCTTAGCACCACATAAAAATAAAAGTATTGGGAAACAAAATCCAAGCATTGAGGGCTGACTTTCTTAAAAACAAAACAAAAAGAACGTTGAATTATATCTCGATAAAAGTATTATTAAGAATAAATGAAAAACTCTGACTTTGTACAAAGAAATCTTTTGTCATTACACATTTCCACTTCGTTTTCCTCTTTTAATGATATTGTTTGAAACTATGTAGAGGTAAAAAATGCTGACTTTAATTTTCTTTTTTCATAGTACTGTTGCAAGAATTCAGTTCCGTCTGCCTGATGGTTCTTCCTTTACAAATCAGTTTCCTTCTGATGCTCCTCTTGAAGAAGCAAGGCAATTTGCTGCACAGGTGAATTTATGTCTCAAGTTATAGATATATATGTTATTAAAATGTAGAAGGATACATTTCAAAGCAGAACTTGAATGTGAATTAATAATGACATGATCTCCAAATAGAAGATCCAGAATATATCTTGGGATATTGTAAAGCTTCTGTCATGTATTAGTGCATATGGGAGCAGCATATCTGCCTATTATGAAAACATGGAATTTGTTGATGTTGTACAGTAGGCTTTGGTAACTTCTCACTGTTGAATGTACTCAGAAGGAGGAATAAAAAGCAAATGGTTTCCCAGAGTTCTAATGGAGCAAGTTGTCTCATACCCCTCAAAAGAAAGCAGTTTTACTTGGTTCTGTTTTCATTTTCTGCAGTTTTCATTTTCTAGCTGTTTTCTCACTATCTGCCTTTTGGCCAAGACAAAAGATCAGTAATTTTTAACAAGAAATATCTTCTTAGCCAGGCATGGTGGTACACACCTATACTTCCAGCTACTTGGGACACTGAGGCAGGAGGACCACAAGGCCAGCCCAGGCAACTTTGCAAGACTCTATCTCAAAATATAATAGGACTGGGGGTGTAGCTCAGTGATAGTACGCCCCCAAGTTCAATCCCCAGTGCCATCAGAATTGAGTATTGGGTTCAGATCTTTCCACCAGATTACTTCTTTCCATTTAGTCTTCTCTCACTTATGGATCCCAAGAGAAGAAAGATTTCTTTAAAGCTCTTTGTCTTCCTAGGCTGGACAATTTTTAAACTATTGTTCAGAATCCTTTTCCAATAAGATTATAGTATAACCAACCCCAAGTAGATTATTCTATTATTATTTTGTCTTTGAGCCTCCCACAAGTATCTTCTGCTTAGAATTTCCAGTATATATATATATAATCTATAGCAAAAAATAAATTACAAAAAAAAAAAGTCTTTTTCTTTGGAGTTTTCTAGTGAAAGATAAGCTGTTGTCTTAAGGTTTTACAAATATAGGTGATTTAAAATTGTGAAGTTGATTGTGGTGCTCCCAGTGTACCTTGAATCATGTGTGTGTTGTGTAGGTTGATTATGAATCATTTGTGTTTTGAGATAAGAAGGTGGCCAAAATCCCTGAAGTTATATAGGCATACCTTGGAGATAGTGTGAGTTTGGTTCCACACCACTGCAATAACACATTTTTTTATTTCCTAATGTATGTAAAAGCCATGTTTATACAATGCTGTAGTCTGTTAAGTATGCACAATAGCGTCATGTCTAAAAAACCCAATAAACCTGTTTAAAAATAGCAAATGTTAGAAAATGGTGCTGTTAGACTTGCTTAACAGAGGATTGCTACAAGCCTTCAATTTGTAAAACAAATTTTGCTTTTTTTGTTTTTTAATGGTGCTGGAGATTGAACCTAGAGCATTGTTTATGCCACACAGACACTCTAACACTGAGCCACATCCCCAGCCCAAATAACAAACTTAAAAACCAATGATATCTGGGAAGCACAAAAGAGCAAAGTGCAATAAAGTGAGGTATAAGGAAAATATTGGTATATTCCACATTTTAAATAGGAAGTTCCTGTAATCCAATATGACATTAACATAAGTTTGCAAAATGATACTGAAAATGCTAATGATGAACTTTGTTTGGCATGATAGTCTTTTTTTTCCCCCCCTATGCTGGGGATCATAACCTAGTGTTTCATGCATACTAGGCAAGCACTCTATTGGGATACATCCCCATCCATAATTATAATTTTTATTCAGTTTATTTATGTAGTTATAGTTTTTAGAACTGTATGCTTGCTATTCATATTTAAGTTATAAATACTTTTTTAGAAATGATTTTTAGTTTACATTTAAATGAACTTTCTAATTAAGTCAGTCGTTTTGAATGTACATATATGTATCATTCTTTTAAAAGGCACCTTTGTGAGATTTTAAAACTTACCATTATATTACAGACTGTTGGCAACACTTATGGTAATTTTTCACTAGCAACCATGTTTCCCAGGAGGGAATTTACCAAAGAAGATTATAAAAAGAAATTATTGGATTTGGAACTTGCGCCAAGTGCTTCAGTGGTACTATTGCCAGTATGTATATACTTTTTTTTCTGCTTTATTTTTGGTCGTTTCTTAGAATTAGAAGGGAAAGGCAAATGTGTACTGCAGATAATTAAAATTCCAATTTTCTAAAAATTAGATCAATTTATTGTAATTATCCTGTTTTACTTATTTGTATTGCTAATGTTCTTGAAGCACTAAATAGTTTTTCAGCTATTTTCCTCACCTGTTTTTATATACAAGAAAGGGTCAGTAGAAGAAAATAAGGAATGTTGAGTTTCTAGTCTACAGATTTTAATGTCTTTTATTTATCTGACTTTACTGTTTGCAGTTTTTAAAACATTATTTTAACATAAAAATAACATTTTCAAGTTTATTATCCCACTTGATCCTAACAACAGCATTTTAATCTCTGATTAAGAAAAAAGGCTCAAACAGGTTAAAAGATGCCAAAGTCCCACCTTCAGTGCCAGAGCTGGGATGAAAGAGCTAGGTCTTTTATGTCCTATGGATTTCCTTGTTCTAAACTAGATGTTCCTACCTAATGTAGGATATCATTATATAAACTGAGATTTGAAACCTTTCCTTTTTTTTTTTCCTCCTCAAAAAGACTTATCAAAGTTATTAATTTCACTTATAGAAACTTAATTTTCTTAAAAAGTTGGTTCATGTCACCAATGAGAACCACTTTCTAATTTTTTTTTTCTTTAAAGAGAGAGTGAGATAGAGGAGAGAGGAGAGAGAGAGAATTTTTAGTATTTATTTTTTTTAGTTCTCGGCGGACACAACATCTTTGTTGGTATGTGGTGCTGAGGATCGAACCCAGGCCGCACGCATGCCAGGCCAGCGCACTACCGCTTGAGCCACATCCCCAGCCCCTCTAATTTTTAATATTACAATTACTCTTATAATACAAAGATCCAGAGTTCCTATAAATTTATATTTACTTAGAAAACAACAAAAGTTGGTAATTTTTACCTTTTTGCAGTAAACTGAAATCCATAGGACCTCATTTTCTAGATAAAAAAAAATGCATCTAAGTTGGGAGGCTGAGACAGGAGAATTGTGAGTTCAAAGCCAGCCTTAGCAACTGTGAGGCACTAAGCAACTCAGTGAGACTCTGTCTCTAAATAAAATACAAAATAGGGCTGGGGATGTGCTCAGTGGTTGAGTGCCCCTGAGTCCAATCCCGAGAACCAAAAAAAAAAACATCTAAAACCTTGAGTGATATGATAATGCTATAATATAGTCTTACCTAGATTTGTTAATTTTGTAATTTCTAGGCAGGAAGACTATCTACATCCATTGTACATTCTTCCAGTGGAGACATTTGGACATTGTTGGGGACAGTACTTTACCCATTCCTTGCCATCTGGAGATTGATTAGCAATTTCTTATTTAGTAATCCTCCTCCTGCACAGACTTCAGTGAGAGCTACATCACCAGAACCTTCAAACCCTGCATCATCTAGCAAATCAGAAAAAAGGTATCTGTTTTCCCCATTTGTAAAATATGCATGTAATGCCCAGCACTTTTATCAGAATGAAAACTTACGTTAGGGCTACTTTGCCTTCTTTCTGCCATCCTCCTCAGTCTCTGTGGTGGATGGAAGAAACTAGTATTATACCATTGCTCCTGGGAAGTTCACTATCTGGGTTTACTCATTCAGATTTTACTCAATGAATTATCCTTACCCCATAACTATAAAGACAGTTTGTTTGTTTTCCAAATGTATAATATCTTTCTTGCTAACCATGTTTGCCCAATTAATGAAACTAAATAGTTTCATTAATTGCTTGTGGCCATCTTGCATAATTTCTTCACTGTGCTTAGATAATTTTAACCCAGGTGGTTCTTTGATGACAGTCTTGTCTGGGTCATTTGAAGAAGGACCTAATTGAGAAAACTAGATATTTCCCTGAAGTGGTGCCTCCATCAGAGCATTATTTTGAACTATTGCCTTAATCCAGAGGACATACTTTTACTGCAGATTACAAAGGTTTGAATGGTAATACAGATAACACAATTTTAGCTTGTCTCTCTGGTTAGATGTTAGATGGTTATATTGAAATAGATCAATGAGAAGTATTTTACTAGAAGGTAAGATTAGGCCCTTTTCTGGTAATTTTATTGTAGTTTTAAAAATATTTTTAGTTGTAGATGGACACAATACCTTTATTTATTTGTTTTTTATGTGGTGCTTTTATGAGGATCAAACCCATTGCCTCACACATGCTAGGCATGCACTCTATCACTGAGCCATAACCCCAGCCTCTTATTTTTATTTCACTTATTTTATTGATTAATTTATTCATTTAGTGGTGCTGGGGATTAAATCCAGAGCCTTGTGCATCTGAGGCAAGCACTCTACCAACAGAGCTATATCCCCAGCCCTCTTTTCTGATAATAGTAGCACAGTTTATTATGTACTTATTCTGTTGAACATTCTTTTGGGCCTTTAATAGACATTATAAACAAGTCTCTTATCAGTCCCATGTGATAAGTATTGGAAATCCTTGTCCATTTGCTGTCAGTGTGGAGATCCCTAGTTTTGTGTTCCACTGATTCTGTAGACGATGACTTATAATACTGATTTTGCCTTTATCTTAGTTTGGACTAATAGGTAACAAGAACAATTACATTCATAGTACATTACTCAAGTTGAAATTATGTATTTTTTTTATTAGTTGTTGATGGACCTTTATTTTATTTATTTATTTATACGTGGTGCTGAGAATCGAACCCACTGCCTTACACATGCTAAGCAAGCACTCTAACACTGAGCTGCAACCCCAGCCCTAGGTGTTTTTAATACTGAATTTTAGAACTCTTACTGAAAAGTGGTTGGGAGCACTTAATACTGTTATATAGGATAGCTTGCTCTATCAAATAAAGGAAAAATGTCTACGGTTGGGGCAAAGAATGGGATGAATGTATATTTAAGCGGGTGAAGCTTTGTGTTCCACTATTTTTCCTCACCCCACCCCCTTCTCTGTTATAAGTGTTTTTAGCTTAAATTTCATCCCTATTTCTTTGCTTTTCTTCCTTCTCCTTCTTCCTCCCTTCCCCTTTCCTTTCCTTCTTGGGATTGAACTCAGGTATACTTGACCACTGAGCCACATCCCCAGCCCAATTTTTTTTTTTTTTTAAGTTGGACACAATATTTATTTTTATGTGGTGCTAAGGGTTTGATCCCAGTGCCTCACATATGTTAGGCAAGTTCTCTACCGCTGAGCCACAGCTCCAGCCCCCAGCCCAATTTTTGTATTTTATTCAGAGACAGTCTCCTGAGTTTAGCACCTCAGTAAATTGCTGAGGCTGGCTTTGAACTTTCGATCCTCCTGCCTCTGCCCCCCTCCCCCCCCCTGCGATTACAGGGATGCACCACCACACCCAACTCTTTTCTGTATATAAATGACAAAGTCCTCTTTATTCTTAGTTTTAAGTCATTTTAAAAGATTTTGAAAGGATTAAAAATTACAGATTGATCATTTTTGTCATTTAGGCTATGACTAGAGGTTTGGATAGTCTCTAGGATACTCTTAAGTCACATTAATATGTCGGCTTGCATACATAAAAAAGGAAAGATTAGTTATCAATTGAACATATTTTTTTCTAAAGCTTAGTGAGTCATCGAAACATTTGGAAACAGAAAAATTATTTTGCTGGTTTTTAGAGAACTGATAGAGTTAAACTACTAAAGATTAATAAAATCTAGTACTGCTTTGGTAGACATAATTATCTCTGTGGACTTTCCTCACCTTGGAGTTGGAAATAAAATATAATTGCCTGTACTAATGGAAGTTTGGAGAAAACAGTTTGTATTACTGGTGTTTTGTTCCCTGTTTCTCTTTTGTATATCAGGGAACCAGTCAGAAAAAGAGTGCTGGAAAAACGAGGGGAAGACTTCAAAAAGGAGGGGAAGATATATAGATTGAGGACTCAAGATGATGGTGAAGATGAAAACAACACTTGGAATGGAAATTCTACTCAGCAGATGTAGTGCAACAAGTACATTATGTACAATAATCATTGTTTCTCTTATGATTTAATTCAACTAAAATTCTACTGGAGAAGTTGGTCTGCTTTTTATGTTTTCTAGCTGATCTACAAATGTGTCTTTATTCCTGATGAGTGGGTGCAGGTGAAAGTTGTTTAACCCAGAAAAGTTAAGATGTAACAAGCTGCTTGCATATGGTAACCAACAACAGGAAGCCTAAAAGATTCCAAAGGTCTGCCACAGCCTCCCTCCATTAGCTTCTTCCTCATTGTTTCATAAAGCCTTTAACCATGTGCTCTCAGATGGCATGTTTTTTTTTTAGAATACTCTTTCCTCTAAGACACTTAAGCCCACACAAAGTAGCTGGTATGTCACTGAGTAATTTGACTCTTAGAGCATTTTAACTAGCCAATCAGATGACAACTTATGTTTAACTTTCTCTTTTTGCTCATCAGCTGCAAGCTAAATCTTAGTTTTTAATCTTACATAAACATTGAATAAAAGGTCTTTTCCAAAAATCAGAATGATCGTATTTTGCTTTAAGCATCTTTTTGTTGTACAGGGTTCTGATGAAGTCACATTTCTCTCTTCTGTTCCCCCTTCACCCCCAATTCCTGGAAGCTATTTCAGCAAAATAGCTATCTGCTTTCCCTTAAATAGCAAAGGAAGAAATTTTCTGATGCACATCGATGCCATGCTGTCTCTCCTAGTTCACTGAGGCATCACTTGGCTTGCATAAATTTATGGTCGGTCTTCTCATCTGTTTTGCTTCTGATGCAAAACAGTTGAGAATTGCTAGTCTATGACTTACTGTTTTTCCTCTCACCTTTATATTGAAGTTTTGTATTCAGTAATAAAGACCTCTCTAGGACCTTAAGTACCTGTGGTGTGGGATGAGAAGTATAGAATAAAGATACACTTTTACTCATTTATTTCTTAATCTGACTTACATGCTACTTTTTCTATGTAAGTTTGGTAATAGAGACCACTAAACTAATGATGTTTGAAATGGGGAGTAAGCATGATAGTTGCTGTGTTTTCAGATTTGAAAGGTATTGCTCTTTGAGTGAATGTGTAAGAAGACTCTGACTTTTTTTTTTGTAACGGGAGGAAGGAATTTTCTCAGCAAACTTTTTCACCTATGAAATGACAGTGACTTTTTAAAATGGTAATAGTGTTGGCAAGGAAATGGTGAGATATAGGCTATGCTGTTGGTAGAAGTAGAAACCAATATAATCTGGAAAACTTCAGAAACTAACGATTATTTCATACTCTGATCCAGTAATTTTTTAAAATAATGCTGATAAATGTATACCTTTTTCACACATAAACATACTCATTGTATGTTTATTTGACTTAGAAATTGGAAACCAACTAAATGTCCTCTGTAGAAGTAATTACTTTTTGATGAGAAATGATACACTACTAATTCAATAATTCACTTTAATATTGATTAAACATCTGTTATGTGTTGGGGGAAAAGAAGCAGGATACAGAGCTGTAGTTACAGTATGATCTCAGCTTTGTAAAATAATTTTATATATAGATAGAACTATGTATTAATATATATGTAAAGAAAGAAGAAAACACAGTGTAACATTAATAATGGTAAGAGTGGTTATATGTGATTCCAGTTTTTCCTTTTGCACCCTTATGTTTTCGCAGTCTTCTGCAATGATCATTACTTCCATAATTTAAAAAGTGAGTTTGAAAATCTCTAGTAGGCATCCCATTTAAAGTTTTGTCATCTTTAAAAATGCAGCAGTGGGTGATATTTTAAAAAAACTGTCAAAATGGGTGTGACCCTAGTAACTATTTAGAGATATATTTGCAAAAACATTGAATACCTCAAGTCATTTTGTCTTGAAGAAAATCAAATATAAGTCTTAGAGAAATTACATAAAAGAATGCTTCATAATCTTTGAGTAGGAGAATCCTTCTTCAATTTTATCTTTTAAAAAAATAAAACATCCAATACAGTATATAAGGCTATGAAATGAAATGAAGTCTCTCCCTTGGCATCTTACTACCCCAAGCACTGCTCTTCCCAAGAGGTAACCTCTCTATTAATAGTTTCTTCTGTAATTTTCAGAAAATTTTTATGCATATATGAGCAAATATGTAATCTTTATTTTTAAATAAATGGGATCATATTATATATACTACCCAGCATCTTGCTTTTTTACTTAAAGTCTTGAAGATCTTTTCCTGTCAACACATAGCTACCTCATTCTTACTAATGGCTGCAATAGCATTCTACTTGATGTAAGTACCCTGGCATTATCTATGCTCTGATGGCGTTCAGTGGCTATTACAAGTGTATTATGCCTGTTTTTCCATTATAAACATTGCTATAATGAACATCTTGAGGGGGTGGTGTATTCTTATTGTGAAATTATACCTGTAGAATGTGTTTTGCATAATTTGCTAAAGGGTATTTGTGGTTTGGATTAAGAAAGATGCCAAATTGGCTCCTTAGTGGGATGTATGAATTCTACCCCCCACCAACAGTGTATGAGAATGTTGTTTCCCCACACCCCTGCCAACACTGTTACCATACTATTTCATCTTTGTCAATATGATAGATGAAAAATTATGTGCATTTTTATATGCATTGTGTTTATCTCAAGATTGAACGTCTTTAAATGTTATTGGTCATTTTAACTTAAGTTGAGCTGTTCTTTGCCAATTTTGTTTTCATAGTTTTCTTATTGATTTATAAAAAATTCCATGTACATTAAGAAAATTTGCCCTTTTGTAGCATATACTGTAAATATTTTATCTTTGAACAAATATGTGGATGGTAATCTACCACAGTATTGATGTGGTCAAATTTGTTAGTGTTTATGGTATTTGAGTCTTGCTCATAAATACCTTTCCCACTTGAAAAGTTAATTTTTTTGTGTCCTAGTATTCTGGGTTTTGTTGTTATTTTTATATTTAAATGTGGTATCCAAGGAAGGGGTCCAGTTTCCTTCCAGACCCATGAGCTACCCTGTTGATTCACCACCAGTTAAGTGCTCATCTAACACCCTCCCCTCAACTGGGAGGCAACCATTGTCTCATACTCTATTCCCATATGTAGTTGGAGCTATGTCTAGGCTTTCAATCAGTGATCTTTTCCATTTGCTCTCTACTACCAAACTATTAGTTATAGTTGGGCACAATACCTTTATTTCACTTATTTATTTTATTTTTTATTTTTTTAAAGAGAGAGAAGCTTTTAATATTTATTTTTTAGTTTTTGGTGGATGTAACATCTTTTATTTTTATGTGGTGCTGAGGATCGAACCCAGGGTCCCACATATGCGAAGCAAGCACTCTACTGCTGAGTCACAATCCCAGCCCCTACCAAACTATCTTAACTAGCTTTATGTTACAATATTCTTTTTCATTCTATATCCTGGCTCTTTAAAAGTTTGTGAAATTTTTGTTGTTGATATCCCTCCCCCAAAAAATGCATGTTGAATTGTCAGATTAATGATAGTGAATCTTTCTGCCTAAGAAATGTCTTTAATATCAATTTTGGAACTACTGCATGTGACAATGTACACCTGACTCATACAGTTTGGCTGGTTGGGACTCATGAAATTGGAACATTTTGGTAGGAATTTTCCATAGACATAATTCAGATGAGGGATGATAACAAGAAACAAAATTTCAGGTATGTCACTTTTTTGTACTTATACATGGATGCAATACTTTTATTTATTTAAATAAGGATTGCTGAGGATCAAACCAGTGCCTTGCATGTACCAGGGAAATGCTTCTACCACTGAGCTACAACCCCAGCCCTCGGGCATATCACTCTTAAAACCAGTTAATTTTTTTTTTTCCTCGGGTGCTGAGGTTTGAACAATTGTTAGGCAAGAACTCAACCATTGAGCTGCAACCCCCACCTTTTTTTGTAAGTATTTGACAGTGCAGTTATCTCTTAGAACATTCAAGGAGATTGATAAAGACCATATCTTTCTCTGCTCCCAGGTACTTGCCAAAGACAGAAATGGTCATTGACTAGGTCTAATGGCAGAGAATTATGAAATATGTGGTCTAACCATAATGTGGGGAGGGGAGGATATTTACAAGTAAATTAGAGGAAGGAGGATCTGCCTGGGGAATTCATGGAAGCCATCCAGAGAAGGAAGTTCATTATTTGAGCTGCTTTTGACTTGAGGGTGTTTTCAGAAAAAGGGGGATCCTAGGCAGAAGGAATAGCATTTTCAGACAAGAAATGTGGGATGGTCAGAACTATTTTAGATTGGAGAAGAAGAAGGGAACAGTCTTAACTAAGCCCAAGTCAGATCACCTGGACTTTGAAATCCTAATTCAGGGCCCTTAGAAGTCATATTGTAGGAGAGCCAGGATGACCTAAAAGGTGACAGTAGGGGAAGTATAATTTAAGTAGACAGCCTTGGTCTTGTTTGGGAAAGTTAGTAGGGTGCTAAATGACTCGAGACTTTATATCTTCTGTTGACACTTTTTCTAGGTGAAGCAGACATAGGAGATAAAACAGTGCATAGAATAGTTTTTTATTTTCTGAGGAAAATTATAAGGCTCAGAGAACTTGGAGAGGGCGATATGATATCATAGTTATTCTGTACAGTAGGTTTGATTTCTTCTAAAAAGGATTTTTACGGTTTTTACTCATGATTCCATCTTCAAAAACTCAAGGATACAACAGACCAGTATCTGCACTTTTCCACAAGAACCACCTGTGAGCTACTCTAACATTCAGATGAATTTCCAAGACTGTGGCAAGATGCAGGTAATTCCATTTTAATCAGGAACTCAAAGTCCAGTCAAGGTTGAGGTCATCTCTGACAGTATAGAAGGCCTTAATGAAGAAGTCCAATATGGGCAGAATACAATACCTTATGGAGCTTGGTGCTGGCAAAGACATATCAAGAAAGAAGGCCTACTTTGCAGAGTATGGGAAGTGGTGACTTGTCAGAATGAAGAGATTTTACTCAATTCCTGTTGGGTTGGTGTTTTTCCTTGCTTGGAGCGTTTGCAGTATTTGTATGACAGAAATGCCAAGCCACAGACTCCAAGAAGCATAAGAGAAAAGAGCACATACAAAGCTGTCTGCGCCTCCGTGATGCTGAGAGTCAGCCCCAGGAACTGGACCTCCTCTCCCTCTCTCACTGGGCTGAAGGTGGGCCCAACATCTAGGAGAGGACAACAGAGGGCAGTATGTGATTCAGTGCATACAATCTCTGGGACCATAGAGAGGCTCCAGCTGCGTCTTTGAAGTCCCGGGGCTACATAAGTATCCCAAATCTGCACAGCCCGTGTGGGCATGTTGCTGCAGTGAAGATGCCCATCCCTTGAGGTGTATTAAGAACCTCTAAATCTTGGGAGGTTCCTGGGGATTTAACCAGGGCAGTTTACCACTGAGCCACATTCCCAGCCCTTTTTGCGACAACTGAAGCTGCCCCTTGAACTTGTGAGCCTCCTGCCACAGCACCTGGCTGGCAGTTTTTATATTTTAAATATTTCTATTAGTAATCTAAATTGCATTGTGGTACATTTACCTGGTAGGTCTTATGTAGTCAACAAACAATGGGCCATTGCAGTGTGCTTTTCACAGTCCTCTTATTTGATCCTTGTAATGGCCTAAAGCATTTGTCTATAGTTTTTTGCCTGAGGTGGCACAGCATGTTATTGGTAGGGTTGGAAGAAGAATCTAAACCTCCTACATTAGTTTTCTATAGTTTCTGGGTGTAACACCAGCCCTACAGGGGTCCTTTGTTTCATGCATTCCAAGGATGTCTGGAGCATTCAAATGAATCTTGGTTGAATGAATGAAGATGGAGAGGCAGAGAGGAAGGTAATAATCTAGGTGAAAACAGGCCCTCCCGCTCACCCTTCATCCCTCCAGAGCCACCTCTCACCTTCTGGCTGGTGGAGACAAGGGTGGGGTCCTGCCGCAGGGTCAGGGAAGCCATTGCATCGAACTACGGAGGCATAGAAGCTGGCTGATGCTTTGGGGATCCTTGGCAGAGAAGGGTCAGTGTAGTTCACAAAATGTACACCAAACCTCTCTGCATAGCCCGTGGCCCACTCGAAGTTGTCCATCAAACTCCAAACCGTGTATCCTCGAAGGTCCACCTTATCCTGCACGGCTGTCCAAACAGAGGCCCAGGCATGAGCTCTCCTTGTCTCATAAGGCACCTCTCTGCCAGGCCTCCTGTGTCCCAACTTGGAGAGTGAAAGGAGCCCAGGCCCTATCTTTTAAAAGAGCTGCCCCTTGGGGCTGGGGATGTGGCTCAAGCGGTAGCGCGCTCGCCTGGCATGCGTGCGGCCCGGGTTTGATCCTCAGCACCACATACCAACAAAGATGTTGTGTCCGCTGAGAACTAAAAAATAAATATTAAAAATTCTCTCTCTCTCTCTCCTCTCTCACTCTCTCTTTAAAAAAAAAAAAAGCTGCCCCTTTTAATGATTGTTAGCAAATCCTTTGTGGTGAAGCTACAGTGCCACCAACATCTTTCTATAAAGACTCAGCCCTAAATGGGTGTTGGGCATATAGGTAGACTAAGCTAACTCCCCTGAACAATCTGTTGCCCCTCTCTTTTCAGCATAGGAGACTGGTGTGGGTCAGGGCCTTAGAATGTCAGTGTTCTTCCCTACAGGAAACCAACAGCTCCTAGAAGGAAAGGATTTCCTGACCATCTTCTTACCTAGCATGGCTGACTTAGAATCACTTAGTCCCATCCTAAGTTGTTTTGCTTGAGGAACAAGCTACTCTGCATTGCAACAACCCAACCTGTTTCTCTTGGCCCTGCCTTGGGGATGTCAGGTTCAGAATCATCCAGCATAGGATCAAGGGGAACAAATGACTCATGCCAAGAACTTAGGTCTAGTCAGTGTTGAGCATCTGGGTTTTCCCACTGAATGTAGAGCTAGGAAAGAAGGGATGGGCGGGAGTCCTGCCCCAATAGGAGCAAGAAGCCTTATCTTTGTCTTTACTCTGACATTGGGATATGGCATTAGCCTTCCCCTGCAGATATTGGCCATGTCTCCAACAGTGAAAGATGCGCGTGAAAGAAGTCGTAGGTCCGTTTTACCTTTAAGGGCCTCATCAATATAACTGCGAAGGTAGTAGATCCTTGTGGTGTCATTGAGGTCTGTCTCTTCCCTCTGGGACACTCCGTTCTCTGTTACATAAATTGGAGGATTGTTGTACTCCTCCTTTAACCAGTTAAGGATCCTTCTAAAGCCAAAAGGTGTCATCTTCAGCCAGAAGGAGCCAGATTCTGGCCAAGTAGGGTCGGCAATTGTGGCAACTCCCCTATGAGTTCAAAAACTAAAGGTTAGGTTTTGTTTTGTGACTCCTCAGAGGCCCTTTACACAAAACAGGATTTATGGGAGGAAAAGCCTTAGGTTTTTCTAAACTTAAGGGTCATGCTAAACCCAGAAGAATCAACCACCCCAAAATCTCTTTCACTCATTCTAATTGCCCCACTCAATATCGATGTATTGACATACCACTTCTGCTCCCCATTCTCTGCATTCCACCTGTGCAGAGAAATGGTCTTGCCCATGCAGCTTAACCCTCCATGGGCTCCCTGTTCACAGATGTCACCTCATACTGATATGAATGGCTCTGCCTGTCTCCCAACAAAACAGGTTTCCCTGAGTCACCTATGTCTAGTCAATGCCATGGGCACCCTTACTGGGAGTCTTCATTCGTGTGGTGACAGGGAGGGACAGGCTTGGGCCTGCTTCTGGTATCTCTCCAGTGATGAACAAGGGAGGGAACTGCTTAAACCAAAAGAGTATCTGCTGTGGGGTGGGGGGAGACACCATGCTGGGGCATCTCTAGACCAACCACTTAAATACTAAAACACAAATCTTTCAGGGAAAAAAAGTTTAGTTTTATTAGTACCTGAGTTACTCAGCGGAATTAAATGTGGGCTGTTTTGTAAGCTTTAGTTAAGTTTATGGAGGAGACAGTCCCTGGATCGATGAGGCACCAAGAGTACTGACAGCCCCTCTCTGAGAGCCTGGCTGGTGATTTCAGGATACAGTGGGGGTAATAGGGGTATAAGGACTTGTTTTTGAAAAAAGAACCTAAACAGGTTCAGAAGTACTAATTTGGAAAGATGCTTGTTAAAAAGGAACAAAATAATGTAGAAACTAGTCCTGCTTATTGTAATAGTTATAATTTATATGTCATATACTCCTATATAAGTAATATGTAGAAAAAGATGTAGATGCGCCCCACATGTAACTTTGAAACGTGGTGGCACACACTTGTAATTCCAGTGACACGGGAGGCTGAGGCAGGAGGATCCCAAGTTCAGAGCCAACCTCAGCAACTAAGTGAGGCAAGGCCCTAAGCAACTTAGTGAGATCCTGTCTCAAAATAAATAAAAAGGGCTGGGATTTATCTCAATGTTATAGTGGGTCTGGGTCCAATCCCCTGTACCAGGGGATCAGGTGATCCCATTCTTATTTTCGAATGTTTCCTCCATAAACCTGTACTATTTGTATAGTACACAATAATAGTTTGATATTGCTTTGAAATGGGATTGTGGGGGAGCTCATTGTTATTTTGACTGAAATAATCTAAGAAGTGAGACAAATTTGTCAGGGAAAAAAAATAACTTCAAAATGTTTCTGAAAACTAAGCACCTCTGCTTAAGGGAAGCATGTAGGAAAAGCAAGCATTGTATTACCCATCACTGTGTATATGGCGTCAGGAGGCCCTTTTCTGAGACTGTATGGGTCTCTTGAGCAAGAGGTGGATTAAGGGGACCTTTCTGTCCTTCCAAAAGACAGACAGACTGACTTACCTGTCTGCATTCAAGGAAGATACGTTAGGAGGATAATCAAGGTTGTAGGCTAGGACGGTGGTATAGTGATTGAACCCAAAAAAGTCATAGGTGCCATTGATCCTCCTCTTCTCACTCTCAGTAAACTCTGGGAGCCTGGGTGGGTGAAATGAGGCATTAAGGGTGAGGGACTTTTAGGAAGAATCACCTTTATGGAAATCCCCTTATGTTATGAGGGGTCGCTCTGGATTCCAGGCACTTGACCATGGCTAGAAGCTGCTGGCAGGTAGGAGTGGCCCTGAGCACCTGAGGCTCCTCCCACCCACAACCTCCCTGCCCTGTGGCGCTGTGGAGCCTCTCTTCCTGTTGGCAGAGTGAAAACTCACACTCCTCTTTTATAAGCTCCCGCTGCAGGGCCACACACAGTGTATTTTCTTCCAGCATTAACATGCAAATTCTGATATGTACCATCTGTGATAAATTTAAAAATCAAAAACATCTGAGGTGCATATCTCAAGATTATTTGTTCATAAAGTTCTCTCTTATAACTTGTATTTCCTTGTTTTTTAAAGTTCATCTGTTTTTGCTGTTGGTTGGTTCAGGCGTCTTTTCTCTAAAGTCTATCCTTAATTCGTAAGGGAATATTTTTACAAATTGAGTAATAGATGTTTGGGCTTAACATGTACCTGGGACTTTTTCCATGTTTTCTGAATGAGGAGACTTTTCTATGAAACTTGACTACCACACACTTGTGTTTTGTATCTACAGGGTACAAATGCACACACAGGCTGACAGGGAGACCCTAGTGCTCTGGTTTAGATATACCAGGTGTTACCCTGCTTAGACCTCAACACATTCTTCTTGAATTTTCTGCTATCATTAACCTAGGGGATCAAAACCAACCTTCTCTAGGGTTTCTGAAATGGTGCGTAAAAACTAAAGCCCAACATCTTCATATCCTTGCTCCTCAGGGCCTGTGGCTCCAAGGCCCTGTGCCTGGCTTCCCAGACCCCCCACCACGCAGTCCCAATCTCTTCACTGCTACAGTTCCGTCTCCCCACTTTAGCAGCACACACTTCATTCTTACCTCTAGGCCTGTACTCACACCCCCACTTCTTGGGTGGAATGACCTCTACTCAACTAAATGCAAGTCATTGTCGACTGATGTTCTGCCTCATCTATGAAGTCTCCTAGGTCTATCTTGCACAACCTGATCTCATCTAGTTTTCTTTGTACTGAAGAAATTGGAGAATAGAATTCCAGGGAATACTGTCTTCTAGCTAGTCTGTCAGCAACTAGAGAAGCCAGACTTGTACTCTTCTCCTTAGTTGGCCCCCACTGGGCTCTGACCTAGATACCCAGTAGCAGCTCACCAAAGTTGTATGAATGGGCCAGACTGCTCACTTGCTTATTGGAGACCAGAGTTAACACATCAGACCTTTAGACACAACCTGCTCAGCAGGATTGTCCTAAACAAGCCAGGAGTGCGTTATACAGTGAGAAGTGGATTTTCTAATCATTCACAGATGGGCTTTTTGGTGGCGTTTGAGGAAAAGACTTAAAAGCTGTATATGAACCCATGCCTGCTGAATTCCTTTCACCACCCTCCCTTGTGAGCTATCATGAGGTGTGTATATTCCCATAAGGCCAGTGACCATCGCTCTGTGCCCTTCCACACACCATACTTCTACCCGTTAGATGATTCTTAGACCTACACTGTGAATCCGGGAGGCAGGCAGCCTGGCTTTGAATCCCAGTTGTGTCACTTTAATAGGTGAGTGAACTTGCCTTAATGGGTTTTTTTGGGTACTGACAATTGAACTTAAAGACACTCAACTACTTAGCCACATCCCCAGTCCTATTTTGTATTTTATTTAGAGAGAGGTCTCACTGAGTTGCTTAGCGCCTCATTTTTGCTGAGGCTGACTTGGAACTTGCAATTCTCCTGTTTCAGTCTCCCGTGCAACTGGAATTACAGGCATTTGCCACCATGTCCAGCTTCTGCCCAGATTTTTGTGTCTCAGTTTAGTCATCTTTAAATTAGGAACAAAAATACCAGTGGAAGATCAACAAATGATAGCAGTTCCTACTGTTGCTATTACTTCCTTGACAAGAAGTGGAGTGAACCAGGAAGTGGGGATACTTTGATTCAAACAATTGCCTCTGCTGACAAAATGCACAAAATGGGCAGTTACCCATTGCTATCCACATTGACTCAAAAGGTGATAAATAAGATCAGATAAGCTGACCAATTTGTCTTTGGAGTGACTTAGTAGGATTGCTAAGACATGGCTGCTCTTAGGACAGAGTACCTGGATGTTCCTAAGAATAACAATAATAGTATAATAACTGTCAAGTACAAACTTAACATATGCCACCACATATAATCTTCCCAGCAAGCAAGGAAATTCAGAGAGAAGCTATCTGGCCCCAGTACCCATGTGCTCACCACTGTGGGCATAAGATCTTACCGAGACTTGTTGAGTCCTGCTGCCAAGCTCCTCTCACGGATTCGAGTCTTCATCACATCATGGTAATCTCCATTCTTGAAAATAGGATGTGCAAACCAGCCTCCCATAAACTGTTGGGGGTGGGGAACAGTCAGCCTTATATAGCATTATAAGTGTCATTTAGAGAGAGCAGTGTCCCTGCTCATTGCCTACAAAACCTCCCCTTCCCATGACCTGGTGCTCTGCTCTCCCTAGTATGTGCATGTTTTGAATAAGTCTCTGCAGGTCTTTCTACCTGCATCTGTTTGCATAGCTACAGCATGGTTCTTAGGACAGAGCTATGTCCTCAGTAATTACAGTGGGAGGAGAAACTGACCACTGGCCTTGGTTCTCCACAAGTGCTTCCTGGCCATCCTTAGAAGGGTTGGACAGAAAAGAAAGGAGACACTCAAAGCCCCTAGGCCACTGATTCCCTCTCCTACTGCAGAGCAGCTGAACTAATAACTTGATCCAAAGATCAACTAGAAGTTTCTGAGAAGGGATGAGTTGCAATTTTTTTTTTGTGTGTGTGTGTGTGTGTGTGTGTTGTGTGTGGGAGTACCAAGGATTGAACTCAGGGGCACTCAACCCCTGAGCCACATTCCCAGCCCTATTTTGTATTTTATTTAGAGACAGAGGCTCACTGAGTTGCTTAGCACCTCTCCATTGCTGAAGCTGGCTTTGATCTCCTGCTCATCCTCCTGAGTCACCGTACAGGCATGCACCACCGTACCCAGCTGAATTGCAATTCTTTCCTGGCTGCCCAGGTTGCTTTATGGACTTTAGGTTCAAAGCCCTGTGGCACATGCCTGTAATCCAGCAACCCTGGAGGTGGAAGCAGGAGGATTGCAAAATTGAAGTCAGCCTCAGCAACTTAGTGAGGGCTTGTTTCAAAATAAAATAAAAAGGGCCGGGGATGTGCTCGATGGTAAAGAACCTCTAGGTTTAATACCCCCAAAAAGTATCCTCCCCTCCAAAGTGGGGATCTGTTCAACCTTTGTGTGTGTGTGTGTGTATGTGCGCACACATATACTGGGTATCAAACCCAAGGATCTCATGCAAGCTAAGCATTCACTCGACCATTGAACTATATCCACCTCCACCGAAAACCTATCTTCTTTAATAAGGTCTAAGCCATCCTTATTAAGAGGATACATGGCACCAAAATAAATAATGCTAGGGAGCTTAAGAGGCTTCTTTATTCTGGAATGTGGGGCGAGGGCAGCCTTCCACTCAGTCTGAGATGAGGCTTAGAACACACATATACCCTGGTACAGTGCACTGTAGGGTAACAAATTGGACCTTTTGAGGAAGCTGACTAACAGGGGATGTGTCTGTTGTAGTGCTGAGCTGCAGTACTACAGTTCCCCAACAAAAGGTGCAATCTAATGATACTACAGTCTTAACATTTCTTGAGGTTTGGGATTTTGACTTCAGGGGGTAAAATTACTGCTCTAATTTACTAGTGCTATGAATCTGAAATGAAGGACTCCTCTGCAGAACCAAAAGTGGGAAACAATATGGAGGATGGAGACCCATGCCTGCCTTTGATACCAAGACTTGGTAGAGGGTTCCTTCTAATTCAGGGGTGCTAGCAGGATCCAGGGAGAAAGCTGTCCCATGAATGAGGGCCATTCTTCATCCCCATTTTCTTGTCAGGAGCCATACTGAGATTCAGTGGGCCATGTTACCATCAACTTACTACTGGTGTTGCTATTTTCCAGGGGCAAGATTCCACAACCAAGATGGACATCCTTGACTTAAACTCATGGTATTTACTAATGAGTTTTACAGAATCTAAAGCCCCCAATTTAAGGAATTCTTAGGCTGGAACAAATAAAATTAGATGTGCTCGCTTCAGCAGCACATATACTAAAATTGGAACGATACAGAGAAGATTAGCATGGCCCCTGCGCAAGGATGACACGCAAATTCGTGAAGCGTTCCATATTTTTAAAAAAAATAAAAATAAAAAATAAAAAATAAAATTAGATGACAACACCCAGAGAAGTGTGCAGCCCCAGATCTGTTGGCCACTAAAGACAATGCAGAGAGATTGAAGAGATGGGATTTCTTTCTATAAATGGCTTCAAATCAGTGTTATATTCAGGAAAGACTACATGTACAAATAATTTTTTAGGACTTAAACGTGATAAGAAGTTGGGTTATCTTTTATCACAACAAACCTACAAGATAGGTAGAGCATCTCTAATTGACAGGTTAAAAAAAAAAAAAAACTAAGGTGTAGAAAGTTAGATGGTTTCCCCAAGCTCACAAAATCGGGTAATAGCAAAACTGAGCCTAGATCCTAAATTTTTGATCCCCAGTGTAATTCTGTTTCCATTGGTCCACTACAAGAGAGGAAAACAGATTAGAGTGAACACTGTCCCAAAGGAAACCAGACCTCAACATATCTTCTGGCTGCCTCCACATCCTCCTGGTTGGAGGGGTCCCTGGGCTCAGCCCAGTCACTGTTGATGGTGATGGAAATAATGCCACCTTGCTGGGCGCGGTACACATCATTGTACAGATGCCAGACCTCGGAATGAGACTTTATTAGGTTGTGGCCAGCAATGTAGGGAGCAGTGTCAGAGGAGATTCCTGGAAACAGACACATGGCAACAGAATGAGCATGGCCAAGGGAGTTATTCCCTTCATACAAAAGTCCCTCTGTGTTTGGGAGAAAGATTTGGCATTAGGAAGACAAATTCAAATCCTAGTTCTACCTCTTACTAGATGCCCTGTCACTTTGAGCAAGTAATTCAGCCTTAGTTTCTTCCTCACTAGAATGGGCATCAGAGAGTGATGGTGAGAAGGAAAGTTTTTGACTTTGTATGTCCCTTGTATGTGAAGCACCCAGTATGTCTGGCAAAGGAAAGGCACTTGATGAATGTTGGCTTCTGTCTCTCTCTCCCCTAAAAGAATGGCTTGTATGTCTCAAGCAGAATACACACAACACTGTGTGCCTTAGGAGTTATGTCTCAGAGCTCTCTGGGGACCCAGATGGGAGAACATAGCAAATGCAAGCAGCTGATAGGAAGATGGCTGAGAGCAAATCCTATGGGAAAGGCTGCCCAAACTAAAATGCCAACCAAGGCCCAGTTGATGATCTGAGCCATCTCCCCATGGCTCTTTCCAGCTCTTACACATGATTAGGAGGAATCACAAAGATGAACACAAATTTACTCTCATCAGCTTAGAATCCAAGGAAAGAGAAGTTGGATGTTTTATAAGAGGCAAGAACAGGTTCACAGTCCCTTGTTCAAAGCCCTCGTGGTCCCATGTGTTTTGGAATTAAATGTTTAGTTTTTTTGTTTGTTTTGTTTTAATTTTAGAAACATTGTCTATAACGTTTGTATATACAAACCAGGATATAGCACCACTCTACCAGGGCCCAAGACAACTCTCCATAATCAAGCACAGTGGTAACTCCAGTGAACTCAGGAGTGCTCACACTGTGAGGTAAGACCACAGCAGCTCATGTGGGCTCAGGTGAGACTTCACTAAGATTAAATGGGCTCAGTCAGCCAAAATCAGTAACTAGAATCTTCAGGATTTGGGGATTATGAGCAATAGACATGAACCTGTGCAGCCTGAGGAATTGCCCTTCTCTACAACAATCTGCCACATCCCAATTTGAAAGAACTTCCCTCCGAGGCAGGTCAGAGTCACAGAGCAAAGAAATGAAGTCATCTTGAGATACTAAGATGTGATATTTGTGTTTAGTAAATGTGGTGTCAGAAGGGAAACCTCTACAGGTTGGGCGCTGTGGTGCACGCCTGTAATCCCAATGGCTCAAGAGGCAGGAGAATTGCAAGTTCAAGTCAGCCTCAGCAATTTAGCAAGATACTAAGCAACTCAGTGAGACCCTGTCTCTAAATAAAATACAAAATAAGGCTGGGTATGTGGCTCAGTGGTTGAGTGCCCCTGAGTTCAATCCTTACTATCCCTCCACCCCGGCCCCCCCAAAAAGAAGGGAAACCTCTGCAACCTTGAGCAGGAGACAGGGTTTCTGAGACATTGCCATGGGGCTTTTATAGCCATGTCCTCCCCTGTCACCTGGATTTCATGTCTTCAAGGTGCAAAGAAGCCCATGTTCCAAAGAGCTGAGAAGTTAGGCGTAGGACATTTACCTGGTGCTCCTGTCCCACTGCCATAGCCTTGGAAAGCAATGACATAGGGCTCATTCAGCGTGATCCAAAATTTCACCTTGTCTCCCAGCCTCTGGAAAAGCACATCTGCATACTCCTTAAACCGCTGCACAATGGTCTCATTCTGCCAGCCTCCAACATCTTGAAGCGCCTGAGGCAGGTCCCAGTGGTACAGGGTCACCTGTGGGAAAACCGAATTGATAGTTCCAACAATTATCTTTCCATGGGAAATCACTGACATGAGATGCACCTACATAAAAATGTTGCTAAACCTGAGAATGGGGGTCAAAGTTGGAAAGAAAACGCCATGTGAGTTTTTGGACAATTCAAAAATTAAATTTGAAAACAGCATTTCATTTACAATAACATTTCATTTATAATAACAGTTCCTCAAGCCCCATCACTCCTCTATGTGGGCCTTTTCAGGGCTTGATGAAGGCCCACCCTCACCTGGGGCTGGATGTTGGCAGCCAGCAGTGCATCAATTAGCCGCTCATAGTAGTTCAGGCCTGCTTCATTGATGTACTTGGTGGTTCCATCAGGGAGGATGCGAGTCCAGGATATAGAAAAACGATAGTGGGATACACCCAGATTCTTCAGGGCGACCACATCCTCAGCAATCTTGTGATAACTGTCACAGGCCACATCTCCATTGTCATCATTCTCAATCTTCAGTGGTGTGTGAGAAAATGTGTCCCAAATACTAAGTCCTTTGCCATCTGCTCTCCATGCACCTTCGATCTTAAGATGACAAGATATGGTCAAATTAAGTCATTCAGTCAATTTGCAAATTCCTGTTAGAGGGTAAGTCCAAGTCAGGTGTTTCTCAATATCACCACCTCTGGGAGCCTTCTCACACTACCTCTCCAGTTTCTGAACTCTTACAGCTTTCTGTACAAATGTATCACCATCACACTGAATGTCCATCCAGGATTAGCTGGGAGAGCACCCACATGTAAATAAGCTATCAGTGTGTATGGTGGTCTGGGGGGAAGATTAGATAATACAGTGACATGAACTATATCGAATAAACTCAAAGCTAGATTTCTCAGCACCAGAAAGCAAAAATACAAATACAGAAAATAAAAAGGCTAGCATTGACCCTATGGAGTTGGACTGATATTGATGATAATGGTGTGAATTCATGGTTTTAAGTATATACAGGTGGATGCAGAAATATACATAAATCCGTGTGAGTATATGTACTTATGTTTCCTAGCTCTGTTCTTGAGAGGGCCTAGAAATGACACCCCAGAATACTGAGCAAACTCAGTGTCTAGATAATGGTTTCTAAATACCATGCTCCACTTAAAGGAGCCAGGAGTCATTGTAGAAAAGGCTGGATAAAGGCTGGAGCAGAAAAGGTGCAAGATGAGAAGTGATTGACATAGGCCATGTCAAAAGGATGTAGGATCCAGAGCTAATAGAGCACTTTGCCTAGCATGCCCAAGGCCCTGGGTTTAATCCGTAACACAGCCAAAAACAAAAGCAGAAAAAAAATGTGTAGGATCCAGCTAAAAGCCACCCCCCTGGAAAAATTTGGGACAATCTGAGCATCTAAATAATGAGTCAGGTACAGTGGTAGATGCCTATAATCCCAGCAACTCAGGAAGATGAAGAAGGAGGATCACCAGTTTAAGTCAGCCTCAGCAACTTAGTAAGACCCTGTCTCAAACTAGACACTGAAAAAAAAAACCAAAGAGCTATAGATATAGGTCAGTGGTAAGGTGCCCAAGGGTTCAATCCCCAGTACTAAAATTAAATTAATAAGTAAGTAAGGGGCTGGGGATGTGGCTCAAGCGGTAGCATGCTCGCCTGGCATGCGTGCGGCCCGGGTTTGATCCTCAGCACCACATACAACCAAAGATGATGTGTCCGCCGAAAACTAAAAAATAAATATTAAAAAATTCTCTCTCTCTCTCTCTCTCTCTCTCTCTCTCTCTAAAAAAAAAAGTAAGTAAAAAGTATAATCCGTTGGATAAAATGGGATTCAACAAGGTCATAACAATGATATATATGTAAATATATATCAATATGTGTATTTACATATACAGCATCACTATGTATATTGATATATATTGATACATACATAATATAGTAAATAAATATAAAAAGAATGATGGAATTTGAAAAAAATCACTATTTGTTAATCATTATGGTAATAATTGATTCAAGCAAACAGTATTATTAGTAGTTCCTAAAACTAGTGGGTAAAAATTTTTTTTAAATGTTTATTTTTTAATTGTAGTTGGATACAATACCTTTATTTTATTTATTTATATGTGATACTGAGGATTGAACCCAGGGCCTCGCACGTGCTAGGCGAGCACTTTACCGCTGAGCCACAACCCCAGCTGTAGTGGGTAAAATTTGATGACATATTTACAGTCTCCAAGAAGCTCCCCACAAAATGCTTCTAGGTATGAAATAGTTATTATTGATTTTATGGTAGAGAATCCTGGTAGATGACTATTTTTATTCAAGTAATAAAATAAGTTTCAATATAATACACATGTGAGTATTTGTAAAAACACACATGCACACATATATACATGTGTACATACATAGAGATAAGTAAATATGGTGAGATATAAAGAGTTGAGGAGTCTGGGAAAAAGTATATGGGAGGCTACTATTTTTGCAACTTTTCTCTATGTCTATAAAGATATACCAATAAAAGTTTTGTTTCTTTCTTTCTTTTTTTTTTTTTTAAAGAATACACAGTCCTGGGGCTGGGGTTGTGGCTCAGCTGTAGAGAGCTTGCCTAGAGCATGCAAGGCCCTGGGTTCCATCCTCAGCACCACATAAAAAGTAAATAAATAAGTAAAACAAAGGTATTGTGTCTAACTACAACTGAAAAATAAAAATAAAATAAATAAAAAAGAATACACAGTCCTGAGGGGAAGATGACTGGTGCTCTAGGCTTATGGCTAAGAAGCGCTGACAGCCCAAACTATAAGTGCTTCTCATCCTTCCTGATTCATACCCACACTTTGCTCATCAGAATATTCAGTGTCACGAATGGTGACAACTATGCCTTTTGACTGCCATGATGAATAGAAATGGACACTCAATGACAACTCAAAATTCAAGATGTGAGGTGGCTGAAATGTTCTCAAGTCATGCCCTATCGTTGCAAGACAGGGTCTAAGAAGTCAACAAGGCTTGTAGCCTTGGAAAAATCTAGTCCTTCCTGTGTCCCTTGTAAACCCAGGGGACAGTGGTTCTCCCTGGGTCATTTTGCCCTCAAGGGAACAGTTAGAAATATCTGTACAAGTGTTTGGAAAGCTTCAGTTATTACAATGGGCATGGGGCCAGGAGAGGCTGGGAGCTGTGGAGAATCTACTGGCATCTAGTGTGTAGAAGCCACAGATGCTGCTAATCATCCTATAGTGTACGCGAGAGTCCCCATGACAAGGAATCATTCGTACAAAATATCAGTCAGCCCCTAATGAGAAACCTCTGACAGAGGGTTGCCTGATTTAGCAGGATCCAGCCTCTTGGCATTCTCTCAAGTGAATATTTTGTGTTCTGGTGTTGGCCAGAGTACCGAAGAGGACTGAGATCTGGGGTTTCCTTGATCCTCTAAACAGTACACATGAACTTTTTTTTTTATGTTTTCCCACAAATTAACTTAGCTGATAAATATCTAGCAGAATTTGGCCTGAGACTTTCCTTTATCACTCGGTAACGCAGTCATCTGGGAGTAGCTAACCCTCATCTTCCTGAAATATTTTCAGCAGTGATAATCATGTAGAAAATCCTCACAGGCTCAGCACCCTGCCCAGGTCCACATTAAGAATGCCCATTTCTGTATCAGAGAAGATTAATAGAGGTAGAGAAAAACCACTAACTTCCCAGCAAGGCATTCACCGCCCTTTATCTCTCATTATTCCAAAAAAAATAATAATAAAACCATCATATCTTTGGTTGAGCCTCATGTGGCATGAATAAGGTAACAGTGTCATGTTAGATCATCAGAAAAATCCCAGGCCCAGGTTTAGAAGCAAACTGGGTAACCTGCCTACTTGGAAGGACCAGGTAAGGAAGAGAGGCATCCAGCAAGACTCTGCATATGCACATGTCTTTACCTGTGTTGGCGTCCAGGCTCTCCCTGCTCCTGGCTCTACAAGCACCCATCTCAGCACAGACTAGTCTGACCAAATTTGGGGAAGTAAAGAAGCTGGACCCCCAGGATCTGGCAGGGGCAGGGATTTGGGGATGTGGTCATAGTGTTGATGGGCTCTCAGCTCCCCACCTGATACGCAGCAGATGCTGTACTCCAGATGAAGCCCTCTGGAAACTGTCCGTATAGGAATTCATCCTCTTTGGGCAGTGGCATGCCATTGTTGGTAATGACCTCTGTGTAGTACTTGGCTGAGGCTCTTGCTGTGCGAAGCCTGTTCGTGTCATTGAAGTCAACGTGGTACAGTCCGAATTTGACTGTGTAGCCAAACAGCCACTCAAAGTTGTCCATCAGAGACCAGACAGAATACCCTCGAAGGTCTACGCCATCCAGCCTGTAGGCTGGGAACATCCCAAAGAGAAGAGGAGAGCTTTACATCAAGAGGCAGGATCTCCAGGAAACCCTGCCAAGTGCTGGTTCCTCACCCCTAAACTATCAACTTAATGTTACACAAAGTAACATAAGCTCTAAGAGCCAAACACCTTGTGGATCTTACTTTTTGCCATCTCAGATAACCCTACAGTATTAATGACTGATCTTTGCAAAATCAAATTCTTTTGTTAAGAGAAAGAGGCATGTCCTGAATTCAAGACCTCAGGCCACTTCAGAAGCACAGGTGTTTGCATTTAAAGAAGAAGGGTTTTTGTTATTATTGGTGTTGTTCTGAGGTAAATGGAAACTCCATGAGGGCAGAAATTTATGTTTTGTTCCCTGCTGCATCCCCAGCATCTAAAATAGAACTTATCAACAAAGTAATTGATCAATAATGAATAAATGGACTAATGAAAATATTCTTTGGGGGGAATTATGTGTATATACATTTGTACATTTTTCTTGGGGAAAGGATCATACCTTTTTCCCCCAGCTTGTCAATGGATGTGTAACTCCCAAACAGGAAAGGAATATATGGAGTTAGGGCATAAAAGTGAGACTGTGAAAGCACGCTGCCAAAACATTTCAGGCACACGACATACAGATTTTATAAGATGAACTGAACCCTCACATACCTTTCAAAGCTTCATTGATATAGGTTTTGTGGTAAAATATCCTATCGGTGTCTTCCACTGCTGGATTTGACAGCCCCACTCCATTTTCTGTGATGTAAATGGGTATATCACCATATTCTTCCTTGATCCAATTCAGCAGTCTCCGTGTCCCCCAGGGCACGGCTGGGTTCATTGCCGTGGCAGTCCATGAAGGGTCCACCTCCTCGGTGATCTCCTGGTCATCTTCGTAGGAGGGTGGGTCTAGCCTGGTTGTTTTGTGCTGCACGATTTTGGACGAGTAGGTGTTGAGGCAGAAGACATCGGCCGTACCCCTGATGTATGCCTTCTCCTCCTCGGTGAAGCTGGGCAGGCGGGAGCTGGCCAAGTGTTGTAGTTCACTCCTATTCCCCACTTTCCACTTCATGGCATCGGGATAGTCTCCGTTCCTAAAAATGGGATGGGCAAACCAGCCCAGGGAGAACTGTAGCATTCGGTCAGCTGCTTCTACATCTCTTGGGATCCCTAGTGACTTGGGTTCTGCCCAGTGTGCACTAAGGCTCAGTGAGATGACCCCCTTCTGCTCCTGCCGGTATTTCTCATCGTAAGTGTGATAGACTCTGGCGTGAGCTTTGATGACTGCATGGGCAACCCTGTAAGGTGTCCATCCTGGGTCCTGCACATTCGGGGGAAATTCTCCTATGCCGTAACCCAACCATGCCTGGAACGTGGGCTCATTAAAGGTCATCCAGAATTTGACTCTGTCACCGAATGTCTGGAAACAGAAGTCTGCATAGCTGTCAAACAACTCAATCAAGGACGGATTCTCCCAGCCTCCAATATCCTGGAGGGCCTGGGGCAGGTCCCAGTGAAACAGTGTTACCATGGGAGAGATGTTGCTTGCTACCAAACCATCGATCAGCCTGTTGTAGTAATTGACACCATGAGCGTTGACAGAGTCGATTCTCCCAGTTGGGAAAATCCGAGACCAGGAGATGGAGAAGCGATAGGCCTTCACCTTCAAAGTTCGAAGCATATTCAGATCCGCATCCAGTTTGTTATAACTGTCACAGGCTATGTCTCCATTGGCATTGTCTTTCACATTGTTCCCTGGAGTATGAGTAAAGTTATCCCAAATGCTGGGGCCTTTGCCATCAGCATCCCAAGCTCCTTCGATTTGATAGGCTGAAGAGGACACGCCCCACAGAAAGTCATCCCGGAAGGTGCCATGATAGAACAAGTCTCTTTCAAACTTAGGTTGTTTGGAGAACTTTTCCCAAACTACTTTAGCCTTGGAGGGCACCTCAGATGGAAAAGTGAAAGCTTTGGCCTTGGAGGGGAAGTCTGCTGTTTTAGAAGGAGGCAGTCTTCTTACTACTGGGGCGAGGAAACCATTTTTTTCAATGACGCTGGTGAAAAAGTAAGCTGATTTCCTGGGAGTCCTTGGTTTGCTGCTGTCATTAAAATCGACATGGTACAGCCCGAATCTCTGGCTGTAACCAGAGGAGCCTTCAAAGCCATCGAGGAAGGAACGAGCAATATAAGAACGGACATCCACTGCATCCTCCTTGATGGCTGTGAAGGAGACAGAAATTAGGGTTATTTTAAAATAATCATTATTGAAAAAAATATATAAGTAAACTCTGTTATTAGTATTGCTTTAAAATTTTTTTCTCCTGACTTGAAAATTTTGGAGGTGACTTTGTTTACCACTCAAATTTAATTCTTTTTCCTCTTCCAGAATGAGCACAAGGATTACAGTCATGTGCCACTGAGCCGGCCTTAATATTTTTTTAATATTTATTTTTTAGTTTTAGGTGGACACGACATCTTTACATTATGTGGTGCTGAGGATCAAGCCCAGTGCCCCCTGCATGCCAGGCAAGCACTCCACCACTGAGCCACACCCCAACCCTGAATTTTTTTTTTTTCTTTTTTTTTTTATTGGTTGTTCAAAACATTACAGAGCTCAAGACATATCATCTTTCATACAATCGACTCAATTGGGTTTTGAACTCCCCAAATACATAATACAGACTCACTTCTGTTACATACTCACATTTTTACATAATGGCATATTAGTGACTGTTGTATTCTGCTACCTTTCCTATCCCCTACTATCCCCCCTCCCCTCCCCTCCCCTCCCAACATCCCTCTCTACCTCCTCTGCTGTTGTTCAATTCTCTCCCCTTTTTTCCCCCCACCCCCTTGCCCCTCATAACCTCTTATTATTTTGTGTATCACTGAAGGTCTCCTACCATTTCCATATGTTTTCCCTTCTCTCTTCCTTTCTCTCCCCCCATTCGTCTTAGTTTACTGTTAGTCTTTTCCTCATGCTCTTCCTTCCTGTTCTATTCTTAGTGGCTCTCTTTATATCAAAGAAGACATTTGACATTTGTTTTTTAGGGCTTGGCTAGCTTTACTTAGCATAATCTGCTCTAATGCCATCCATTTCCCTGCCAACCCTGAATTTTTTAAACTGTTGTTCTTCCCTATTTACATTTAGTAATATTGGCATAAAATGATGACATATGCTATGTTAAAAAAAGACTAAAAAAATTTATTTCCTGGTACAGTAGGTTAAATGGTGGCCTGCCAAAAGATACATCCAAGTCCTAACCCCAGGTAATCTACAGTTTCAAGACGAGGTCATTCCGGGTTAACTGGGTAAACCCTAATCCTGGCAACAAGCATGACCACAGGAGAAGGTCATGTGAAGCTGGAGGCACGGATTAGAGTCCTGTATCCACAAGACACCGAATACCTGGAGCCACCAGAATCTGCAGAGAGCAGGGAAGGAATCTCTATTACAGGTTTGAGAGGGAAAGCAGCCCTATTGAGACCTCAGTTTTAGGCTTCCTGATTCTAGACCTGTGGGATAATACATTTCTGTTATTTTAAGCCACCAAGTCTGGGTAATTTGTTACAGCAGCCTCACTCACCTTCAATTTGCCAAATGATCTAGTAAGTCAACCAAAAACCAGAGCCAAAGTAAAAAGATAATGGCTGTAGAGGGCTCTAGCTTAGAGCCAGTGGAGAATTAGGCCCGTTTGTTTTCAAGCTATACAAACCTCTCAACTAACAAACTGCTTGCATAAGAGGTAGAAAACACTGTTCATTCAATAAATAAGTCAGTAAGCATGGACTTTGTTCAAGGTCTGTGCTAGGCTCTGGGGACAAGGATGGATAAAATCATTACAGCTTAGTGGGCAGAGGGAGGAACTGAGCCAGAAATAAAGCTTCTGGCTCTAATCACTGCCTGTTTGGGGGTGCCAGTCTCTAAAGGCATGGGTTTTGCAGTTGCCCTGTGAGGAGAGTATCTGCTGTCTTTACTGGACAAAGCTATTTCAAGGATCCTTGAGATAATGTCTCAAAGGAATTCCAAGATTATTTAAAAAGAAAAACAGAATTGTAGCTAACACCGAGATGTGTCCCAGTGAGGGGCAGAGGGTGCCTATCCCCTCAGGTCTCACCGATTGACTTTCTCTCTGAATTTAGACAGTCTCCTAACCTTGTCAGCACAGTCCTGTGGTCAGACAGACAGCCACTCACTACCAGGGATCATGACTGACTTGTGAGAGGAAACCCATTTGCCATCCTTTCTCATTAGGAATAAAAAGACATATGAACTGGTATGTTAGGTAAGAGTGAACTGTAGGTACCAGTCAACCAGGTCACGTGGAATACAGATTTTATAGCCAGTCAAAGGAGAGGGCTATCAGTGTGGCTGGAGCAATGAGGGAAGAGTTAATGGGCTGGAGGGCCACCTAAGAGTCCTCACACCGTGCATGACCTTGTCATCCTACACTTCAGTTCTTTGCCCGTGACTCTCAGTAGACTGAGAATTCTCTATGGAAGGAATAATGTTTGTTCAATATTGTACCTCTACTGTCTTGCACAATACTGGCATATTACAGGCACTCCATTTTTTTTAGCTGTGGATGGACACAATACCTTTATTTTATTTATTCATTTTTATGTGATGATGAGGATTGAACCCAGTGCCTCATTCATGCTAGGCAAGTGCTTTACCACTGAGCTACAATTCTAGCCCCTCAATATTTGTTTTTTTTTAAAGAAAGAGAGAGAGAGAGAGAGAGAATTTTAATATTTATTTTTTAGTTTTCAGTGGACACAACATCTTTGTTTGTATGTGGTGCTGAGGATCGAACCCGGGTCGCACGTATGCCAGGCGAGCACGCTACCGCTTGAGCCACATCCCCAGCCCCTCAATATTTGTTTTTAAAGTGTATTAAAAATGGTAAGATTTGACAGGTACCATGGCATGCACCTATAATCCTAGCTACTCAGGAGGCTGAGGCAGGAGGATTGTAAGGTTAAGGCTGGCCTCAGCAAATGAGCAAGACCCTGTCTCCAAATAAAAAGAGTTCTAGCTCAGTGGTAAAGTGCCCTCTGAGTTAAATATCCAGTACAACAACAACAAGATAAAACTGATGGTTGCTAAAACTCGGATGGACAGAATGTAGAAGGGTGGTGTTCTAGGGAACAAGAACCCAGGAATAAAGACATAAGCCTTCATGGAAATAGAGTTAGAAGGATGATGTGAAGAACTCCCCACTATTGATACCAATACTGCTTTTTGGGCTTCATTGCTCTGGGAGACCGTCTTTGTTCCATTAACAGAACTCTAATGACTTGGAGGAAAAATACTTCCCACCTTCCGATCACCAGCATATCCACTGTCCTTACCCTTGAGCACCTCATTGATATACTGGTTGAAGTAATCCACTCTCAAAGAATCATCAAAGAGATCTTCATTCTCTCCTATGGGCATGCCATTCCCAGCCAGGTAGATGGGAACTCTTCCTCTCGTGTATTCCAGGGACACAAACCGCAACAGCCTCCTTATACCCCAGGGCACTATGCGAATCCAAGGAGAGGAAGTTTGGGGCCATGCAGGGTCCACATGTTGGGAGAAACCTCCGATATTATCATAGCTGGGGATGCAGGTGACTTGTTGGGCCTTGCTGATGAGGCGGGAGGTGTAATGTGACAGGCCCAGAAAGTCGGCAGAGCCCTTTAGGAGCTGCTTCTCGGCCTCGGTGAATTCAGGGAGCTGGGCCATAGGCTGGGGACACTGTTTGTTTATCTGTTGAATCTGAGCCTTCAGAGTGGCAGGGTAGTCTCCATCCACAAAGATGGGGTGTGCAAACCAGCCCAGCATGAAGTGCAAGAAGCGCTCAGAGGCTATCAGGTCCTCAGGTCTCTCTGGAGACAGGGGCTCTGCCCAGTGTGAGTTCAGCACTATGCCCACACGCCCCTGCTGCTGCAGGCGATGCTGACGGTCGTAGTGGTGCCAGGTTCTGGCGTGAGCCTTGAGGATCGAGTGAGCCACCTTGAGAGGAAGAAAGAAGGAAACAGCTCTTAGTGTCAATGACAATTTCAACAATAGCACTAATGAGCCAAAAATAAGGCCACAGTAACATCAATGAGTTAACACCAATGTCAATATCAAGGCCACAGAGAAGACAACACTTTGTCAACATGATATCAACACTATTTTCAACAAGTCATCAACGACTCAACATTAACACCAATGTCAATAATGTCAACTAGTCAATAATAACATCAAAAAATCAAAGTCAGCCAGGTGTGAGGCGCATCCCTATAATCCAGTGACTCAGAGGCTGAGGCAGGAGGATCACAAGTTCAAAACCAGCCTCAGCAACTTAGTGAGGGCTGCCATAAAATAAAGTGAAAAGTAACAAAGGCCTATGAATGAAGCTCAGAGGTAAAAACCCTCCTGGGTTTAATTCCCAGTACGGTGAGGAAAAAACACTATTGTCAACACTATCAACGTCAGTGTTAACACCAGGGAGGCAACGAGTTAACCATTCAACATCAACAAATCAACACCGACAGCATCAACAACCACCTGAACATAACATGTCGAGAACACCTACTGCTCAATAAATCCTGTCACATAATCCTTTCAACCACCTCATGTGGCAAGTACAGCAATTACCACTTTACATATGAGGAAAACGAGATCCACGTAGGTGTAATAACTACAAGGCTACAGTCAGGAGAAACGTGAGAATATAAAACCAAGGCAATCTGACTCCGGGCCTGTTTGTAATCCACATCCCTATAATCCAGTGACTCAGAGGCTGAAGCAGGAGGATCACAAGTTCAAAACCAGCCTCTCTACTCAATAAGTGATTATTGAACAATTAGTCCAGGGTAAAGGGGTATTATTTTAATTAATACACAAGGGAGAAGAAGACCACTTTTTCTAACCTACTTGTTCTGTAGTCTTCTTAAATGTATGAAGAAAAACCACAACCAGGAACTATCCCCACACAGTGCTGGGGATGGAACCCAGGGCTCCTGGCGTGCTAGGCAAGTGATGTACCACTGAGCTGCATCCCCCAGAGTCTCTTTATAGACTTAGCTCATCATCTTGGAAAAGTTATCAGCTTTCTTGGTGGAACATGGGAAAATAGGGATAAAAATTGAGTGGTATGGAGTGTAACAAGCTTACTTTCATATCAAGACTGTCAATAACTTGCTTTGCAAACTTGAACTATCAGTTTCCTCAATTTCAGCTTTTCTACAAGAACTGTATATTATGCAGCAGGACTAAGTGAGATTCACATACGTAAAACACCAAGCAAAAACTTGGAGTGCTGAAGGGAGGTTGCTAAATCTTAGTTGTTTTTTTTTTTTCTTCTTTTTATCATCTGAAAAGATGGACACGTACTTTTGAAGAATTTCATAACAAAATGTGGCCTGGGAAGCAACACGCCTGGCTTTTCTTATGTCCTGAATGTTAGTCCTTAACTGAGCTCTAAACACTACTGGCAAACTTCTCCTTTCCAAAATGCAAGAATGGGCCCTACTTAACTAGTCTGTGCTGGGCAGGGTGCTCAGTGGGCCATTAGGCAACCATTAGAAACAGTCATTGTCACTGTGATACAATGTGGAAAGTGCTAATAGCATGATGCCAAGTAAACAGTGAGCACTAAAGCAAGGCCTAAGTGCAAAAAGCCAAGAATGGAAAGAAATACTAGACATTGTCACCCTAAAATCTGTATGTTGAAGCCCTAGACCCCAAGGCAACGGTATGTGGAGAGGAAGCCTTAGGGAGGTAAAGAGATTTAAGGGAGGTCACAAAGGTGGCGCCCTCTTGGTGAGAGTAGTGTACTCACAGGAAGAGCCATCAGGGTGTGCTCTTGCTCTCCCCATCACGTGTGAACACAGCAAGAGGGCAGTCTGCAGACCGGAATGAGAGCCCTCCCCAGAGAGACCTCCTTAGTACCTTGATCTGGGATTTCCCAGCCTCCAGCAGTGTGAAGAAAACATCTCTGTTGTTTAAGCCACCAGCCTATGGTATCTTGTTACAGCAGCCTAAACTAAGACTATCTCAATATTAAAACATGTTAATTAATAAATAACAAGCAACAATTGAAGGAGCTGGGGATGTGGCTCAGTTTGCCTAAATAAATAGAATTTGAGAAGAAGAGTGAAGGGAACTTTCTCAAAGTCTCTAAAAATATCTTGGGAGTCATAGTAAAGCCTAAGAAAGTCTCAGTCATAAGAAAAACCTAAGAAGAAAAGGTTTGGATGAGTTTTACAACAGGCAGACACTGAGAAAGCATGAAACCTTTCGTTTTCAAAGGGGCTGCTTTCCAGGCACGCAGTCACTTGTTAACAAGAGCAGAACAGAAGCTTTGAGAGAGGGGCTTTGGCATCTTATCGTGTCACTTACACATGACGTTCCAGTTCGCTCTAATTGTGAACATTTCAAGTTGTTCTAAGTTTATTATGTGTGCCACTAACATCTCTCCCAGAAGGTTATAACATGTTGAGGACATGGCTGATCCCTCCCCTTAACCTGGAACAGAACCCAAAATATGAAAGGGAAAGCCAGCCTAACAAATCTACCCTAAAGAATCTTACCAGGGAAAGCTGCTGGATTTTTTGGGAGATTCTGAAAGAAAAAGGGACATGATGGGAAGAACCCATAATAACCCATTTGAAATTTGGTCCCCAGAGCCTAGCACTGTGGTGCATGCCTGAAGTCCCAGTTACTAGGGGAGCTGAGGCAGATAGATTGCTTGAGCCCAGCCGGGAGTTTAAGACCAGCCTGGGCAACACCTGAGAGCCTGTCTCAAGAAAAGAAAAATTAAAAATTGGTCCCATTTGTCTATCTCCATCTTGTCGAAATGATATCTGATGGTCTTCTAAGAAAGCCACCTCTGTGTCCCACCTCCCCATCTCTCAGTGTAGGCAGGGCCTGGGACCTTGGCCCACACCTGTCACCAGTCCCCTAGCTGAGATCCAGAGATGGATTCAGGAGTGTCTGTGGTCACCCAGAGACCAGGAGATAGGAACAAAAGCAAATGGATGAAGACAACAAGGGAAACGAGAGAGCTGCTGGGTCTGGAACTATCTCCTGTGCTATGATCAAGTTCCATCTTGACTAAGCTACAACCAAGATTTGCTGAATTCACAAATTCCCTCCTTGATTAACACAAAGAGGCCTAGGTGACATGAGAAACTTGCTTTTTTTTTTTTTTAAATAAGTGCAGTGCTGGGCTGGGGATGTGGCTCAAGCAGTAGCGCGCTCGCCTGGCATGCGTACGGCCTGGGTTCAATCCTCAGCACCACGTACCAACAAAGATGTTGTGTCCACCGAGAACTAAAAAATAAATATTAAAAATTGTTTCTCTCTCTCTCTCTCCTCTCTCACTCTCTCTTTAAAAAAAAAAAAAAAAAAAAAATAAGTGCAGTGCTGTGGGTGGAACCTAGGGCTAGGCAAGCCCTCTATGGCTATGGCTCCAGCCTGGGGACTTGCTTTGAGTCAGGAAGGGAGTCTCAGAACCTGTCTTCCAACCTGCAACCCAACAGTGAGGTCTTCACAAACATTGTTTATCCTCTCTGAGCCCAATTTTCTCATCCATCAGGGCAATTCTAAGGAATTCTAGTTTTAAAGAGCTAGTACAGGGTCTGGACAAATTAAGGTAATTAATTTATGGTTTCCTTTCCCTCCCTCTGATCACCTTTAAAGAACAAAAAGTAAACACTTGCTGATGCAAAAGAGACAGATAAAATTACTTTCTTCCAGCCCAATTAGGAGCTGTGGGAATGGGCAGTACCTTAAAAGAGGCTACTCCTGGGTCAGAAATGCCCGGAGCATGTTGGCCGGTGCCATAGCCTGCATAGCTTATCACCCATGGCTCGTGGAAGGTCACCCACAACTTCACACGGTCCCCAAAAGTAGAGAAGCAGAAGGCGGCATAATCCAGGAAGGCATCCACCACTCTCTCATTCTGCCATCCGCCGTGATCCTGCAGGGCCTGAGGCAGGTCCCAGTGGAACAGTGTTACCATGGGCTCGATCCCAGAGTCCAGCAGGCTGTCAATCAGCTTATTGTAGTAGGCAACCCCTTGGAGGTTGGGGCTGGTCCTGTGCCCAGTGGGGAAGATCCGGGACCAGGAAATGGAGAACTTGTACACTTGAGCCCGGAGGCCACGGAGCAAGGCGACATCAGAGACTGGCTTGTGGTAACTATCACTGACCACCTTTGGTGTTGCCTGGCCATTGATGGCATTCAGGTGCCCGTATTGGTCCCAAATGCTAGCCCCTCTCCCACCCTCAGCCCAGCCTCCTTCCACATTAAAGGCTCCTGTGGAGACACCCCAGAGGAAGCCTTCTGGAAAAACATCCTGCAGGAAGGCATCTCTTTCTGCCCGGGACTGGTTAGCAAAGGTTTCCCAGACTCTCTGGTAGGCTGAGCCTGAGTACAAGGACCCAACTGCCATCTCTTGGTCCTGATGCTGGTCGGTCTGAAGGGCCAGGCTTTCAGTCAGAGAACAAGATACGCTGTGGGGTTGAAGTGACACAAAGGAATGATTAGTGACTCGGAGTTACAAATACCCCCATGCTGATGAATAGGGTTCAACGGACTTAATCTGTAAAGATTTCAGAAACACTGTGTCAATTGCCACATTCACAAAGTCATGGCAGGCAGTGACTCTGAGTTGTGGAAATTGTTAAATATTGTTCTTACTTGAGAATAGTAACAGTGCTACTGATCCCCATGTTGGTCTACCCTGAACACTGTCTTCAGTTCTGATACCAAACTTGTTCTTCTTATAACTTATTGTGTAAAACAACTAATAATGAGGATTTAAATTTCTTGAGCCAAGATTCTGCGCCAATCACAGTGATAGAGTATATGTATATTATCTCATTTAATTTTATGACTAATTTACAAGATAGGTACTACAACTAATCTTCATCCTACAGAGCGAGAAACAGACTTAAAGAAATGCATACCTTCAGGGCCTCGGGCAGCAATACCAGCTGGGACAAGAGTATTTCAATAATGAAAATGTGGGTATAGCTCTCCTGCTAAGTACCAACTATCTGGGCATGGCAGCACACACCTGCAATCCTAGCAACTTAGGAGGCTGAGACAGGAGGATGGCAAGTTTGAGGCCAACCTAGGGTAACTTAATAAGACCTTGTCTCAAAATAAAAAATAACAAGGGCTGAGAAAGTGGAAATACTGGGGAATGATATTGGCCAAATTATATTGTTAGAGTATGTGCACGTACAAATATTTAACAGTGAAGACCATTACATACAACAACCATGCACCAATAAAAAATATGGAAGAGGAGTCTGGGAATATGGCTCAGTGGTAGAGTGATTGCTTAGCATGTGCTAAATCTTGAGTTCATCGCCATACAATGAAAACAAAAACCAGACAGGTACCCACTAAATATCAGTCTTGTCTACAATCTCTTTTCTTCCTCTTGCTGTCTGGATTGAGGACAGGATGTCAGGAGCTAGAGCGTCCATCTACCAATCTACCCGACTTAAGGATGAAAATGTAACAAGATAGAGGCCTGGACTCCTGGTGAGCATCGCTTCTCCTTGATCCCAAACCTTTCAAGTGGTAGTAATGTCTCTATTTTTAACCATGTACCATTATGTGAGTGTGTGAATGTTTCTGCTTATGTGTATGTGTTATATATTTGAAATAAAACACCACATCAACTAGGCACAATGGCACATGCCTGTAATCCCAGACACTTGGGAGGCTGAGGTAAGAGGTTGGTAAGCTCAAAGCAAGCCTTAGTGAGGGCAACTTAGTGAGGGCAACTTAGTGAGGTGCTAAGCAACTTAATAAGACCCTGTGTCAAAAAATTAAAAAAGGGCTATGCATGAGGCTCAGTGGCAGAGCACCTGAGTTCAATCCTCAGAACCAAAACAAAAACAAATCTCACACACACACACACACACACACACACACGTGAAGTGCTATCCTTACATGCGACATAGTCTATTTTCTATTTTATTCTAGTCTATCTCCCATTCCTTTCCTTTCTTTTTAAAAAAGTTTTTGGTTGTCATCCTCTAAATTGATTTCACCTTCAGTGAGTTGGGCCCTGCAGGCTGGAAAGCATCAACCACAGTGTACTGCAAACTGTACCCAGCAGAGCCAACCTTGAGGAAAGGCTAGCAGAAGTGGATGTGTCTGTCCACACGGGGAAAAGAAGGTGGAGGTCAAGAGCATCACCTCTGAGGGCCCTCATGGGGAAGGAGACCACACTAGACCAGATTGGCCCAGAGCACAGAACTGGCAGAAGTGACAGGGACACTGAAGAGGGGTCTCCCTTCCAAGGGGGGATGCCAGAGCAAATCAGCCCCACACTAGGGATCTTCTAGACCAAGCCCCTCTGCTTTACTTAGCATCAATTTCCCCAGATTCGCTAGAGCAGTGGAGGGTGGGGACCACCATTTATGGTTGTGGATTATCCCAAATACAGGAATTGTGGAGCCCGACCAGGTATGTGGGAGCTGCTTGGTGCTTAGTCAGCTGCGCACCTACGCAGCCTCAGCTGATCATGACCTCACTCGGCCCTCTGACCCTGACTCTGAGCTCCTGACATAGAGGAAAGAAAGTCTGAGGAAATAAACTGCCCTGGGTGGAACAGGCCTTGGAGCAGGGAGTCTGGGGTTTGCCTAACCTGGGGAAAGATTTAGTGCACTAAGAAGCACTCCGTGGCCAGAGAGATTCCAAGTGCCCCGCTTCAGCCCACCTGCCTCAGAGAGTCCCAAACAATGCTCTTCTGTCCCTTTGGGATGTAAGGCTGTCTCCCCTGCTGTGCTCTGGTCTTTTGGGGACCTCTCTGCCTCACTTGTGAAGTCTAAAATTCTCAAGGGAGAAAACTGGTAGTCCTGAATCCTCCTCCCCTGCTTCCCTTCCACCAGCAAGTCTCCATCCACATCCAACGGAGTCAGGGTCCCTGCTGTAAACCAATGTTGGATCTCCCCTTCAGGAGAAATGCAATGAGGTCAGGGTGTTGGAGAGAACCTCAGAGCTGGTGTCACTTGTGTTTTGTACTTACTGACCTCCCAGGGAATCCATTTTATTTTGGTTCATTTTTTTGTTGTTGTTTTTCTCTGCCAGAAGATAGAGCCCAGCACTTCTTGGTGGACTGTATGGTCAGGGAGAAGGTGACTTCTCTGCTCATGGCACTATTTTGCCCACACAGCAGAAAGTCTGACGTATGACAGCTACCCAAGCAAGATCTGTTAAACTCAACTGCTGATTTGAAGTGAGTTGAAAATATGGACAATAAGAAGTGACTATGGCTCAGGACAGCCAAATGGCACCACTGTTCACAAAATGTCAGAGGAATGACAAGAAGAGCTCCAGCTGAGGGTCTGGGAGCCAAATGATGGTCTCCAGTCTGTCCTACCTAATAGCATGGTGTGTAAAGTCCACCTGTGACATCCTGAGGGAGTGCTGAGGTGGTGGGGAATTCTTAGTGCCACCTTCCACACCATCCTCTTTTTGCTCATTTAATATGGGATATGATATAATTATAGGGCTAACCTTAAATCTGCTCCAATTTCTTTTAAAGTATATAATTTATAAGCCTTGTAAATTTACAAACTTTAGTCATTGATAAATTTTTTGCTATCTCATCATTGATTAAAACCTCTCTCCTGAGAACTCTTAAGATAGGCTTCTGCAAAAACTGTCCCTCCTGTCTACACTGTCTCCAGTGGGGAAGACATTTCACTTAAGGAAATGGGGGCAAGAACTCACTTCATGAACCTAGTGGGATGGTCAGATCTCTGTTTAACCTGGCCTCTTTTCCACATGCACTGTTTCTAAGATCTTAAACTAGAAGAAAGTATTCAAATCTCAGCTCTGCTAATTGTGTGCAGCTGGAGTGAACTAATAACAGAGGAAGCCAGACCGTAGAGCCTAAACCAAAATCCAGTGAGGGATAACTTCTCCAGCTTTCCTCTGACCCTTTCTCCTTGTTTTTGAATGACCATAATAAACCTGCTGGTCCAATAAGCAGTGCCAACAATCCCAAAAAAGAGATCCCATGTGAAAGAAGAGCAGAGTAATCTAAAAATGTCAGTGACTTAATCTAACATCACCTTTTCTTGGAACTTGATGAGCAGGTCAGGAGCTCATTAACATCAAACCCAATGGTGAGCACTTGGTCTTTATTTATGGCTGTAAAAGAAGAAATTGAACTCTATATGAAACTCAACCAAGAACGTGTACATCTGATATCAGCAATTTTCCTCACTCATAAAATATCCCCAAACTTCAAGCAACAGTTCCAGGTCCCTCTGAATATACCATGGGCTAAAAGGTTAAGGAGAGCAGACATTTCTGATCTCCTTACACACTTAATGGTATAATCAGAATCATCTGAAGATTAAAGAGATTGTCAGCTTCACCCCAGAGCCTCTGAAACTGGTCTGGGTGGGGTCCAGGAAACACATTTCTAAGTCCCCAGGTGATGCTGATCCTGATGCTGCTGGTCCAGGAACTGCAAATTTGAGAACTGTTGATTTAGAATTTAAACATCTGAAAGCAGTAGAATTTTTTTTTGAGAGAGAGAGAGAGAGAGAGAATTTTTTTAATATTTATTTTTTAGTATTCGGCGGACACAACATCTTTGTATGTGGTGCTGAAGATCGAACCTGGGCCACACGCATGCCAGGCGAGCATGCTACTGCTTGAGCCACATCCCCAGCCCAAGCAGTGGAATTTTAAAATTGTGGTTTGCATATACATCAACATAAAAGTTACCATTTTAACCATTTATAAAGGTCTGTCATTTAAGAACAGTACTCATCGTGCTATCAAAAATGAGTTGGGGTGAGGATATTAGGTAAGTGTGCACATTAGCTGCAGAGGCCCGTGGAGTCAGTGAGGCACAGGGAGGGGAGGGGTTACAGGAAACAGAAAGGACACCACTGACTTCTCCCAGAACCTGGCCTATAGATGACAGGGGTGGGACTGAGTCTCAGGGCACTCCAGCACATGTCCCTCTACCCCTTCCTGTGGAGTCTCTAGCAGCCACAGACTTAATGGACCCCGGCCTTCCCCTGGCACAACTGGACCAGGAGTAGCCTCTTGATCCATGGTCAATTAGATTCAGTCAAGAATTTGCATTAAAACACTGAGAAGATGGTCCCTGAGCTTCAGGTCCTGCACCTGAAAGTTTATAGCAGCTTAGGTGCCCACCCAGGGCTATAGTCAAACTGAGGTCAGAGGGAGAAGGGGAAACAGAAGGCACTGACTGGGGACAGGCATGAAGCAGTCCTACAGAATGGGGCAGAGATGAAAGACCCTGGAGGAAGAGGCAATGGACAGAGACTAGCAAACAAAGATCAGCTTTTGTGCTTACAGTTCACATCTGAGGCCCAGTGGTCTTCATCTGTGTAAGAGGCATCCCTGGCCTTGTACAGAGCCTCACCTCTTTCTTGGGGCAATGGGAGCTGTTTGCCAGGGAAGGCAGAGAACCCCTAGACCCACCTGGGTAGGTTTCTCAGACCAGTCGTCCCCCCCCCGTGCCCCTCCTCCTATTCAAACCCCAGCTTTTAAGACTGTTAGTCACCAGGCCAGTGAACCAAACAAACAAAGGTCCCTCAAAATCTCTCCCATGAGGACCCACTTACCTTCCAGAAGGCTAAAAAGCAGACTGGCAGGACTCTTCCTGGTAGAGGGACAGTCCTGAAGTTTTAGGGTGAAGATAAAAACTTTCACTTTTGGTTCAATGGTCTGAAAAATATAAAGGCCAGCAAATGAATGAAGCTCCCTAGGAAGTATCTTTTGAAAAGAGGGACAGGGTATCAAGATGAGACGTCACAAACATTCCCTAGCTTTGAAAATGACCTCTCGCCATATCAGTTAATTAGAGTAGCTGACTCTAGACCCTGAAGGAGAAAGACCTACACGTTTAGTACACAGGCCACACTCCTCACCCCTACCTGCACCCTTCCTTCATCTTGGGTACACAAGGAATGTCTTGGAGCCAAGAACAAGGCCATCTGCTCTCATGAGGAGCCCATGTTACTCAAGAAACCACCATCACCATATTTTTAGATGTCTGAGGTTTGCTTCAAAATAATCTGGTTTAGAAGGTAGAGGAGAGGGGTATAGGTAAAATAGTACTTGCAGCTACAGACGGATTCATAGGAGTTCCTTATATTTTTCCCCTTACTTTTAGATACACCTGAAGTTTTCCATAATAAAGTTAAAAGAGCTGTCATTGTTAACTATTATGGTTTAGATATGAGGTGCCCCCCAAAAGTTTGTGTCAGACAATGCAAGAACATTTAGAAACATTGTTCTAAAACAATCAGGCTATGAGAATTACAACATAATCAAGGATATGATGTGACCTAATCACTGATTTGGATTAATTGGGTGGTAACTGTAGGCAGGTAGGGTGTGGCTGGAGGAGGTAGGTCACTGGGGGCGTGCCTTTGGGATTTATATTTTGTCCTGGCTGAGTGGAGGTCATTCTTTGCTCCCCTGTTGCTATGTCCTGAGCTGCTTTCCTTTTCCATACCCTTCCACCATGATGTTTTGCCTCATCTTGGGCCCAGAACTGTGGAGTTGGCCGTCAATGGATTAAGACCCTTGAAACAGTAAGTGCCAAATATACTTTTTCTCCTCTACGTTGTTCCTGTCAGGTCTTTTGGTCACAGAGGTGAAAAGGTGGCTAGAACATTAAGTGTAGAGCAGGTGTTCTCCACTTTAGTATCATGGGAAGTATCTCCAAGCTGACTGGCTTCATTTCATTTTACCCTTCCTGGGGAGGCTGGGGTCTGTCTGGTTATTTTCCCCCTCACTAATTTTTCCTCCTCTGAGCCTTAAAGGCTACAAGAGATAGCAATAGCAACTACTTAAAAGGAGCCAGTCACATTCTTTATTTTCTCATAGCTTCCTTTGACAATGTCCCTTCTTGACAGATGAGGCGTCCAAAGCTCAGAGAAGCCAGGTGAGCTGCCCATGAGCACACTGTTGGTGGAGCTGCACCTCCACACAGGTTCGGTCCTTTCCCAGGGATGGGTCAATGCAGGAGATCCAAACAACTGAGGGCAGCATATTTACAGAACTGAGGGTTTTTTTCCTTCTTGAAGGATCCATACAACTGGTGGGGTGTGTGTGTAAATTGTGACATTCTAGGACTAATGAACTAGAAATGTTTGGGGCCCCTGCCCTGCCTTCTGCAGAATGAAGTGTACCCTGGGTGAACAGAGCCTTTTCTGATAACTTGATATAGGACTCAGTGTGTGCCTCTTGCAGAACTCAGAAGCTGGGGCTGTGCTGTGCCTCTTTACCAAGGTGCTGAGGATGTTCTCAGGCCATAAGATACCTATGCATCATTGATGAGCGGCAGCTGAGGGCCCCTGAGGCTCAGCAAGGTGCTCTGGGGAGATAGGAGGGATAGAAGTGAGTGTGTATTGATCTCGACAACACCTCCACCCTCTCCCCTTGCAGTCCATGGGAGAGGCCCCTTCAAGTGTGGGGGCATCTAGGGTAAGAAAAGAGGTTATGTTGAGAAAGAAGCTACAGGCAGCATGCTGCAGGCTCCTGTGGATGCTCCTCAGCCCCTTTCCTCAGGGAGAACTCAGCTGTTCTTTTTTGCATGCTGGGGATCAAATTCAGGGCCTCATGCATGTACAGGGCATCCTCTACACTGAGCTATAGCCTCTGCCCCATTCTAAATCTTTGAGGCTGCATCTGAGTTGTGAAGTCCAACATCTGGAATTGAATTCCTACATAAGGAAATAGAAGGAAGGAAAGAAGAACTGTTGCAGGGCTTAATATATGGCTCCTAAGTTTGTCCACAGGATGGCCAGCTATGAACTGAGGTTTCATAGCATTTTCCAGACACCAGTGGTGTAGATCTTGAAAAAGAAGCACTTTAAACCACATCCTCTAACACAAATCCTGCAGATGCTCCTGTTGACTGGAGGCAAGCTGCATCTGAATAACTGAGATGGGCTTTTTTAGATGTTTTTTAGATTCTGAAGCCTTTAGCTTGGTCACAAGCTCTGGTTTAATCCCTTGAGGAAGGGAAAGGCAAATTTTGTTGTCAGGCACAAGAGGATCTCAAAGACACCACCATTCTGTTTAAGACCCAGAAATCTCATCCAGGAAGCCCAGAAGTGCAGGCTGTGGTTCTCAAGCAAGTTTAGGTTCAGGTGAGAAGAAGCTTACAAAACAATTAAAATAGTATGCGATTAAAAAAAAAATTCAACCTTCATTATGAAGTTGCCAACCTTTTGCTTATTTTTGTTTTGGAGAGGCAGTGTAGTGTCTTAGAATGAGAAAGCCCTGGTTCAAATCCTACCTCCAGCACTTACTAAAAAGCATCTGACCTTGGCTACCTAGGCTCATTAAGTAGATTTACACTTGTGCAAATGTGTTGGTTTAGATGTGGTTTAAGTGTGTCCTCTCAAAGGTTCCTGGGTTGGGTCTTGGTTTCTTGGGTGGTGGTATTGGAAGGTGGTGGGACCTTTAAGAGGTGGGGACTAATGGGAGGGTGTTAGGGCAACTGGAGTGTCCCCTTGACTATGGGAACCCAGTCTCTCTCTGGCTTCCTGTCTCATTGATGTTTTTCATCACACACAAGCTCACATCATGATGGGATGCAGCCAAGAGGGGCCTGAACAGAGCTGAGGTGAGCTGAGCTGATGCCAGTGCACCATCCTTGAAGCTACAGAACTGTGAGCTAAATAAACCTCTTTTTAAAATAAAGTTAGCTTGCCTCAGGTATTTTGTTGTAGTATACAAAATGAACTCACAGCAATCATCACTACCAACTGTCTTTTTAAAACTGAGAAGACTGAAATTTCAATTCTCAGGCAATTCCAATGAGAGTAGAAGATCCAATGTGAATATGTACCTTAACAAGTCAACCCTTGTTTCCTTTTCTAGGAAAGACTGCCTAATACCCAGTGTTCTTTAGGGATGTTCTTAATGAAAATATCCCCAGATGCATCGTGGCAGATCTTTTGACTGTGTAGAAGTTCAGTTCACACATTAACCAACACATTAGATGTCTAATAGGCTTTTAGGAACCCTCAATATTCATCGTTGTTAAGGAAAAGGGATCAAATTACCTGCAATATATTCAACTTCTGTGGTAGACTCTCCACACTTTGGCATTCATAAGACAAATCAAGAGATAGGAAATCAACGGAGTCCTAGAAATAAACAAATAGGGTCATTAGAGAATAAGAAATTTCAAGGCAAAATGCTGCTTAGAAGTATTTTTTATTTCTCCCCTTATTTCTAAACTGAATACCACAATGTGAGGTTTTCCACCGTGTGTGGAGGGGCAATGCCTGTGTCTTGTTGGGAATACCTCATCTGTGTGCTCTGCCAAGAGCCTGGCACACAGGAAGTGCTCACTAAGTGTGTGTGGTTAAATGAATGAGCCCATGAGTATTCCAGAAATGGTGGGTTACACCATGTAGACAAGGGAAGGCACTGGAGGTCAGAGGTGTCCCCCACAGCACATTCCTTGAGGCCCTCATGAGCTGTGTGGACCTTTCCGGTGTTTGGGGTTTTGTTATAGTTTCAGGCCAGTTTGAAGCTCACCCCAGTTAGCCCTAGCTTGACCCATCGACTACCTGAGAGCAGGACTCTCGTGGTCCTAGTCTACATTCTGATTAAGGACATAACCTTGGCCCTGTCTCTGGCCTGCCTATGTTGAAAAAAACTCAGTCTCAACACGAAGATACCACACTGCCCACTTTTCTCAGTGAGTGGATGTCTACTCCATTTCTAACCGTGTCATAGTTAAGCCATGGCCTGCCTCTCCCCCTCATGGATCATCTTTTCCCTTAGGACATCTGGTGAGAACCAAGGGTGTCATGGACTTTGATAACTGATTCATCACTGGCTCCCCACTGCTTTCCCAATCAAGTTATCATCAGTGTCAACAAGACTCCTCACACTTGCTCTGTGCTCACTCAGAATTTCCCTTACCCGTCTTCTCAGTTCTTGCTTCTGTTTGTCAGTTCCATATAATACATAGTAATTGAGTCCCTACTCCTGAAAGTCATTGTGTTAGAAATGTGAGTGGGGATTCATATTTAAAGATAAATAAGATTCACAGGAGAAGGGCGCACTCCTGTAATCCCAGCAACTTGGGAGGCTGAGGCAGGAGGATCACGAGTTCGAAGCCAGCCTCAGCAACAGCAAGGCACTAAGCAACTCAGTGAGACCTTGTCTATAATTAAAATACAAAATAGGGCTGGGGATGTGGCTTAGTGGTTGAGTGCCTCTGAGTTCAATCCCGGGTACCACCCCCCAAAAAAAATTCACAGGAGCTTACAAGTTAATAAGAAAAATTAATACAGACATCACTTACATGAAGAAAAGGCAGAAAACAAGACGTGCTGTAAGAAAAGCCCACACCAATGATATTCAAACATCAGTGAGGATCACACCCACCTGGGAATGCCTTCCAAGGGCCCAGATTTGTCCCACCACACTAAGCCTTGGTCTCTGTATTCTAACTCTAGGTAATTCTACGAAGCAAAGCTTCGGAATTGGTCTAAACAAATGGCTAAAGGGTCTAAGTGGAGAAAGAGTTCAGCAGTTGAGTTAGAAAGCATTGGGAGTGTGGTTAAGTAAGGCCTTCTAATAGAGCACATTCACATGGACATTAACAATAGGTAGGGGTTTTTTTTTAAATATTTTTTTAGTTGTTGATATACCTTTATTTTTTATCTTTTTATTTATACGTGGTGCTGAGGATTGAACCCAGTGCCTCACATATGCCAGGCAAGTGCTCTGCCACTGAGCTACAACCCCAGCCCTGTAGGTAGGATTTTGATGGAAAAAGATTTGAGGAAGGTAGGACAGGAAGGACAAGAAGTAGATGTTATGCATCATCTTGAAGAGAGTTAGCTAGCATAGTGTATACACTGGGTATAATAAGAATTGAGGAAGATAGTGGGAAGCCCTGAGGGATTTGTTGATTCAGGGGAGTGTGGCATCCTGATGGGATCCGTCAAAACTGTGCTTTTGGAAGGTTACCCTGAAGCATGGCACAGCATGGATCTAGGTAGGAAGACCAGTTCAAAGGCTACTGCCAGACATGCATTTTTCTGAAGAGCACTTTGGTCTTCTGAGTTTATAACTGATAGCAGTTATTACCCTTTGTAAATCAATTCAGGCAGCAATCTGGTTGTGCAATCAGCCCGAGAGTTGTTATTCAGAATCTTATCACATCTGGGGTTTGTAAATCTGAAAACTGAACCCTGATATACGTAACCCCCAGAGAGCATATGGGGTAATGACAGTACCGTGACAACGCCACAGGAACTACAGAGATCAGCTGTTTTTTCTGATGGCTTTCCTCATTGCCCAGCAGTCAAAAGGAGGCAAACCTGCTTACTGCTCAGATGTTTTAATTTTTCTTTTTAGAATGGAGAGTTATAGAGATGTAGAAACCAAGGTAGATACTCTAGAGAGCACATTTCTAAAACCCCTCTACTCTAACATCTATTTTGCTATAAATGGATTTTTAGTAAGCTTTTGGACATTGTTGTTGTTGTTTCCTTTTCTTTCAGTACTAGGATGGGACAGGCTAGGCAAGCACACTACCACTGAGCTACACACCCAGCTCTTTTTATTTTGAGACAGAGTCTCACTAAGTTTCCCAGGCTGACCCTGAACGTGTAACCCTCCTGTCTCAGCCTTCCGAGTTGCTGGGATCAAAGATGTGTGCCACTGTGCCTGACTCTTTTTTTTTTTTTCTTACTAAAACAGTATTTATTTGTCTTCCCTCTGTCAAACCCTGAGCCAACCACTTTGCACATAAAGGGACATACAGGGTGGACAAGATGTGGGAGGAAGAATGTGAGGCAGAGACTGCCCCTTCACTTGGCAAAGGAATGAGAAAGGCCACCATCAGACAGAAGAGTCCCATGGCCTCCGAGAGGGAAAAGCCCAAAATGGCGTAGGAGAAGAGCTGTTGCTTCAGAGAAGGGTTCCTGTCATAAACAATGATAAGGCTTCCAAATACAGTCCCAATCCCAGCCTCAGAGCCAGCCACCCTGACTGTGGCAGCCCCAGCCCCAATGAACTTGGCTGCTGTGTTGATGGCCCCTAAAATGGTGCTGGTTTGGAAGCTGGGGTGAGGGAAAAGTGAGGTCAGGGGACGTGGGACTGCCAAGTTGTTGCAGCTCTCCTATGTGTCTCTGGTCGGTTCAGCACCGTGGGAGATAGTGGTAGGTCCAGCAGCTGAGAGGTGCTCCTGACCAAGGAGTGGGTGGAGAGGAACTTGGAGCAGGCATATATTTTCAGGGAGTGAGGGGCTGTGGCAAGAAAGCTGCTCCCTGTGCAGAGAAGACAGTGTGCCTGACTTTTGAATTCTTTTAAGAATGAATCAGGGCAAGCAGAAAGCATTTGGCTTCTTTGTTATAAGCAAGCCGACACGGACAAGGCAAGAGCTAGGGATACCACAAATGAGATATTGTTTTTAAAGCAATTCTGAATCTAGGGAATGTATGACACTCAGAAAAGGCATTTATACAAATGTCAAACCAGCAGAAAAAAACTTGGCACAACTTTTGCTGGATGCAGTGGCACATGCCTATAATCCCAGTGGTTCAGGAAGCCGAGGCAGGAGGATCACGAGTTCAAAGTCAGCCTCAGCAAAAACAAGGCACTAAGCAACTCAGTGAGACCCTGTATCTAATAAAATACAAAATAGGGCTGGGGATGTGGGTCCGTGGCCGAGTGCCCCTGAGTTCAAATAAAGAAAAAATTATAACTTTTTCAGGGCGTGGCGGCACACACCTATTATAATACTAGGCAATTTGGGGAGGCTGAGGCAGGAGGATTAAAAGATCAAGACCAACCTCAGCAATTTAGCAAGACCCTGTATTAAAATAAAAAATGTAGGGACTGGGGTTGTAGCTCAGTGGTAGAGCGCTTGCCTAGCATGGGTGAGGCCCTAGGTTCCATCCTCAACACCACATAAAAACAAGTAAAATAAAGGTTAAATTTTAAAAGCATAAAAATAAATTTTAAAATTTAAAAAAAGGACTGGGGATCTAGCTCAAAGGTAAAGTCCTCCTGGGTTCAATCCCTAGTACCAAGAAGAAGAAAAAAAAACCCTAAAAAACAAAACAAAACAAACGACTTCCCCCAGGTACTATAGAGGCTGTATCTCTGGGTTGTTGTCACCTTGCCAAGTGCAGATGTGGATGGTTCTAGCAGGAGCTCCGAGATCTCTTCCACTCTTAGGACCACAGAGAGCTTTCCGCCTGAAACAACCAGAAGAACAGCAGGTGAGCGAGAGCAGCAGGCTCTGACCAAGGAAGCCACTGGGGCATCCATTTTCTACCCACCTTTCTCTAGGAGGGTAGAACTTTAAAAAGGATTTATGAAAAAATAGTTCACATGATTTTATCTGAAAGGCTATAGAAAACAAAGTAGTGGGGGAAGAAAAAGTCCCTGAGAGACGGTTTTGTAGGAACAATATCCCTGCCCAGCAAGATAAAAGGTGGCAAGGGAAGAACCTGCTTTGAAGGCAGGGTGCACGCAGGAAACTGATGTCACTTTGTCCTTGTTCACTGTGTAGATCTCAATATAAAGTCCTACTGTGTATTGAGTGAGAAACAAAGAGAATATTACCATATGCAACTTGTTTTGATTTAAGGAATCTAACAGTGACTCTCAAACTTTTGTATGCATCAGAATCATCTGCCAAAATTATTTTAAAATGCCAATTTTCAGACCTCCACCCTCAGATTTGGAGTCAGGAGACTAGGGTGAGCCCAGGAACACACATTTTAACACAAGCTACCTATGTGATTTGAAGTGGTCCTGAGACCGTAATTTGATAAACACTGAGCTGTATTCTTTTTAAGTTGCCTTATGTTGCCAACGTTTTTATTTTTATTTTTTGGGGGGGTATGATAATACTGGGAATTGAACCCAGGGATGCTTTACTACTGAGCCACATCCCTAGCCCTTTTTTAATTTTTTGAGACAGGATCTCACTAAGTTGCTTGGACCTTGCTAAATTGCTGAGGCTGGCTTTGAACTTGCAATGCTCCTGCCACAGCCTCCCGAGCTGCGGGGATTACAGGTGTGCACCACAATATCTGGCTCCCTGAATGCATTGATCAAAATAATCTGGCCAATAACAAGCTGCTGTTGCTAGAGGTGTGGCAGGGGTTACTAGATGTTGCCCTGGAGTGTGTCCCAATGCTGGGCAAATGGGGGTGCTATGTGTGATTCTACTCTTCCTATCAGAGGGATGTTCACTTTTTTCTCAACCCTCCAACTCTGCCAAAAATCATATCTTCTTTTTCTTCCTGATTGGCAGCACATCTAACAAATCAGTAGAAGTTTATAACACATACAGAAAGATTATACTTTTTTATTTGCTAAAAATTATGTTAAAATAAGGCTGGGGAAATAGCTCAGTTGGTAAATGCTTCCCTCACATGTACAAGGCTCTGAGTTCAATCCTCAGCACCACCACAAGAACAAAATTGTGATAAGATATAACAAAATCTACCATTTTAAACACTGTGTGTGTGGCAGGGGAGGGTGGTGCTGAGGATTGAACTCGGGGCCTTGTGCATGCAAGGCAAGCACTCTACCAACTGAGCCATGTCCCTAGCCCAAAAATACTTTGAATTGTATAATTCAGCAGCATCACGTATATTCATATTATTGTGCAGTCATCACCAGCTTCTCTCTCCAGAACTTTTTCATCTTCCCAAACTGAAATTCTGTACCCACTAAGCAGTAACTCCCCTAGGTCTCCTCTCTTCCAGCCCCTGCCAATCTCTATTCCACTTTGTCTCTGAATTACTATTGGAGGTTACTGCATATGAGTAGAATCATAGAGTATTTGTCTTTTTTTGGGTGTCTGATTTATTTCACTTAGCATGTCATCTTCAAAGTTAATCTATGTTGTTGTGTTAGAATTTCCTTCCTTTTTAAGGCTGAATAATATTTTTTGTAGGTACATTCCACATATATTTATCCATCTATAGACAGAGATGTGGTTTGTTTCCACCTTTTAGATATTATGAATAATGCTAATATGAACATTGGTCTAGAAATTCTTGTTTAACAGTTTGCTTTCAATTCTTATAGGTATATACCCAGAAGTGGAATTTGGATCATATGGTAATTCTAAATTAAATATTTATTTTATGTACTGGGGACTGAACCAGAGCCTTGCACGTTAGGTAAGTACTCTACCACTGAGCTATACCTGGCCCCTAAATTAAATTTTATTTATTTATTTTTGCAGTACTGGGAATTGAACCCAGGGTACTCTACCACTGAGCTACCTGTCTAGGCTCTTTTATTTATTATTTTATTACAGGGTCTTGCTTAGTTGCTTAGGCAAGGCTTGACCTTGTGATCTTCCTGCCTTAGCCTCCCCAGTTCTTAGGATTACAGGCATGCAGCACCATGCAGCCTGGCTAAATTACAATTTTTAAAGGAACCACAATTCTGTTTTCTACAGTAGCTGTGCCATTTTACTTTGCTGACCCCAATGCATAAGCACTGTAGTTTCTTTGTGTTCACACCATCACTTGTTTTCTCTTTCTATTTCTCACTCTGTTTATAATGGCCATCCTAATGAGTATAAAGTGGTAACTAATTGTGGTTTGGATTTGTATTTCTATATGATTGGTGATGTTTCATGTGCTTATTGACTATCTGCATTATTTTCTTTGGAGAAATGTCTATTCAAATCCTTTGCCTGTTTTTCATGGGGTTGTTTTTTGTTTTAAAATAAAATAAAACAAAACAAAATGAACAAAAAGGACTAGGGATTCAGCTCAGTGGTAGTGCATTTGCCTAGCATGTGAGAGGCAGGAGGATTGTAAGTTCAAGGCCAGCCTCAGCACCTTAGGCAGACCCTATTTCAAAATAAAAAATTATAAAAGGCTGGTATTAGCTCAGGGGCAAAACACCCCAGGTTCAACCCCTGCTGCTGCTACCACTACAAAAAAATTGTGCATATACATTATATAGTATAGACACATACATATAGTATATAATAAAAAGAAGAAAGCATATATAGTCCAAAATCAGTATACCTAGCATTCACTTTGGGAATTTATTAAAAACACAAATGTTCTGGTTCTGCCTAGAACTACTGAATCAGAACTTCAGGTTACCTAAGAAATAGGAATATGAACAATTAAACTTACAGTATTCTCAGGGCTGGAGGTATAGTTCAAGGTAGAGCACCGGCCTAGCATGAGTAAAGCCCTGGTTTCAAACCCGCACCATACCACACACACACACACACACACACACACACATATAAAACGAAGCAAAACAAAAAACACCTTATGGTTTTTCATTCCCTGTCAGTATATCATCATTTTATTTTGTGTTTGTCTGTCTCCCTTGATGTAATGTAAGCTCTAGCTGCAATGGTCTTAGTGGTCTTCATAAGAAAAGGGGTGGGGGCTGAGGAAGAAGCACAGGCAATCTTGAAGCCTTGGATAGTTAGGAAGGCAGGTCTCCTTGTGAAGGGAGAGGGGACAGTGAGACAATCAGTGGCTGCACAGTTTCAAGAGTGGGCAAGAAATTTAAAATATATTTTTCAAAGGACATTATGCAATATAAACTACCCTTTCCTACCTCCATTGGAAAATCAATACAACATTGGTCTCTCCCACTGTATAGATATGAGGAGTCTATTGAAAGTAAGCAGAAGAAATACCAAGTCCAGCTCTAAGAAGGATGGGGGAAGGTGTGTACCAAAGCTGCTGGTGGATTAGCTTCAGGGTCAATGTGTACTTACCCTGAGAAGCATATTTTTCATGGTAAATATTATAGGCCTTTTTGTGGGCATCAGTGACAGTCTGGAGACGCGAAGCTCTTGATTCCTGGTGAGGAAGATCCATCATTACTTTCTCCAAGTTACTAAAGGTGAACCAGATCCCAACTAGGTCCCCAAAGGAGTGGAAGGCAAATGTGGCATAGTCAGCAAAGAGATCAGCAAAGCCTTCGTTTCTCTGCACAGGGCTGGTGGGTAGGGTCTGGTGGTGCAGCACAACCATGGGCTCAAGCTTCGAAGTCCTGAGGGCCTTGAGGAGTTGTCGGTAGCAATGCACTGTTTTCTCATCTGGATTCTTGGAGCTTCCTGATGGGAGAAGTTGTGCCCATGACAGAAATACTTTATAATGGGTGATCTTACTGGCATGAAGATTGCTGAAGTATTCTGGCAGGAAAGAGGGCAGTGGCTGGTGACAAACATAAATGTCCTTGTCCCCAACTACAAAATTCAAACTCTGGTTTCCCAGTGGATAGCTTGGGTTGTGCAGCAAATCATTAGTTAGAGGACCAGCAGCTGAAATGAAATTTCTGTCAGGTTCCCAGTCTAACCCCTCGCATGAAAAGCTTAGTAGAACAATAAAGACTACATTCTGAGACAGCTCCATTTTCAGGGAACTGTTAGGTATATGGAAGGAATCCTGACTTTATAACAACAGCTGAGGTTGTAAACTTCTACATGATTATTAACAATATTTAACCTGGTTATCTATGGTAGTGAAAGAAGTACATGGTTCACTAATATTTAAAAATTTAAAGACGATAAGAAATAACATGAAACCCTCAAACTATCCATTGAATTTAAGCAGAAGAACCTAGAAAATATCTGGGAAAAAATTCTCCACTTTTTATCTATTACTTTATTTTTCTTTATTTATTTTTAAAGAAAGAGAGAGAGAGAATTTTTTTTAATATTTATTTTTTAGTTTTTGGCGGACACAACATCTTTGTTTGTATGTGGTGCTGAGGATCGAACCCAGGCTGCACAATGCCAGGGGAGCGCGCTACCACTTGAGCCACATCCCCAGCCCTGTCTATTATTTTAAAATTTATTTTTTTTGTGGGGTGGGGTACCAGGGATTAAACTCAGGGGCACTCAGCCACTGAGCCACATTCCTATCCCTATTTTGTATTTTATTTAGAGACAGGGTCTCACTAAGTTACTTAGTGCCTCACTTTTTGCAGAGCCTGGCTTTGAACTCATGATCCTCCTATCTCAGCCTCCCGAGCTGCTGGGATTACAGGTTTGCACCACTGCACCTGGTACTTCAAAATTTCTTGACATATTATAAACAGAAATAAGTCCCTCAACAACTCCCCCCACTACTTTGAAAATATGTGAACAGCTAGGCAAGGTGGCACACACCTGTTATTCTAGCAACTCTGGAGACTGAGGCAGGAGAATGTGTGTTCTAGGCCAGTCTTGAATTTAATGAGACCCTGTCTCAAAACTTTAAAAATGTTAAAGGGTTGGGGAAGTAGCAGTGGTAGGGGTCCCTGGGTTTAATCCCCAGAACTACACACACACAAAAAGTAAACAATGAATACATCTTGTAAAATATTTAAATATAGAAACATCTATGAAAACCTTACAAATTCTCCTTTGATCACTTCCATATTCTTTCTAGAATGAATACCTTCAACAATGTGGATTCTTCCAGCTTGCTTTTTTTTAAAAAAATTGGCACATTATAATTTCTTTCTATTTCCTTTCGCCACATGGCATAATGGTTATTCAAAAGTTTATGGGCTGGGGATGTGGCTCAAGCGGTATCGCGATTGCCTGGCATGGGTTCGATGGGGCACGCAGGGCTCGATCCTCAGCACCACATAAAAAGATGTTGTGTCCACCGAAAACTAAAAAAAATAAATATCAAAAAATTTTCTCTCTCTAAAAAAAAAAGTTTAAATCACAGATGAAAGTAATTTCTCTGTGCCTGTAGAATGGAGATAATAAATGATATATTGTGGACAGTAATGGAACATAATTGTGAGATGTTTAGAATAATGAAACTCAGTGATTATTACATAAAAATGCAAATATGCATATAGCATTCAAAGTATATGACATAAATTAATGTATTTGGAATCATGCCATATGCATTGTTACTAAGCTCCTTTTTTCACTTAATAACTGAGTGATCTCAGAATACTCATCTCCTTTTTTGTTTTTTGGTCGTCAATGGACCTTTATTTTTTTATATGAAATGCTGAAAATCAAACTCAGTGCCTCACACATGCTAAGCAAACACTCTACAACCCCAGCCACAACCCCAGCTCCATAGACTAATCTCTTTTTAACAGATGCACAGCATTCCAGTTAAGGATTGAGCATAATTAAACCTCTTACATATTGAACCCTTTCATTGCTTTTAAGGTTGTTTCCTCTATCCCCCTGCCAGTACTGGAAATTGAATCCAGAAGCACTCATAATGAATTACATCGAAGCCCTTTTTATTTTTTTGTGATGAAATTTTGCTAAATTGACCAGGTTGGTCTCAAACTTATCTGATCTCAAACTGATCCTCCTGCCTTATCTGAGTTACCGAGGTTACAGGCGTGTGCCACCACACACAGCTTGTTTTAATGTGTTATAAACAATGCTTCAAATGTATATTCTTATTCACAGCTAGTCCATTTGTGACCATTTTTGTAGATGGATTCTATGCCAGGCATACCCAAATTGATTAAAATAAGTTTGGTTTTTTTTTTTTCAAATTTAAATCCTTCTTGGTAGTGTTCCTAAATCTCTCTGCCTTGCTAACATGTTATAAAATTTCACATTTTGACACTTTGAAAAATGAAATACTTCCTTGATTTTCTCATTTTCCTTTTTTCCCCCCTCATAGTTGTAAATTGACGAATGCCTTTATTTATTTCCATGTGGTACTGAGGATCGAACCCAGTGCCTCACACATGTCAGGCAAGTGCTCTGCCACTGAGCTACTGCCCCAAACTGATTCTCATTTTTCTGATTTAGAGATGTTCTTGTAAACTGGCCATTTATTTTTCTGTGATTTATGTTCATATATTTTTTATTTTCTTACTACTGATATAAAATTTTAAGTTTGAACATCTCATCAAAAACAGGATAGAAAAAAATTTCTCCTAATTTGGTTCCCTAGTGTCTTCAACATATATTAACTAGTACCAGTTTCTAAAAAGAAAAAAATATCCCAGGTCAAACCTACCTAATATTTGATTATTCTTTTTATATCTTCAGATCTTTAACCCATCCTGAATTTTAACGGTACATATTGTATGACAGGCCAATTTCTAATATGCTATTGAATAGGCTGTTCTTCCCCATTTTTCCCCCACTACTAGGGATTGAACTCAGGGGTGCTCTGTTACTAACCTGTATTCTTGGTCCTGTTTAGTCTTTGAGACAGTCTCAACAAATTGCAAAAATCGGCCTTGAATTTGTGATTCTCTGTCTCAGCCTCTCAAGTCATCATTCTGAACTATTTGAAATGCTAATTTACCAGGAAAGAAAAACTATATATGCAGAAGTTTATAGATTTCCACCTATTCCAGCACCACTAACACACTATTTTAATTTCTATACCTGTGTAGTATTTTTTTTTTCTTTCTGACAGGACAAGGCCTCTCCTATCATGCATTCTCCCAGAATCTTCTTGGAAGTGTTTATATATTTCCTCTTGCATGTGTCTTGGAGATAGTCCCCATTTCACAATATCTATGACTATGTAATTTTGTGTGTAAACCAATGCTACAACTTATGATTTCCTTACTAATGGATATCTGTTGACATTTGGTTAAAAACCCTTTAAATTTATATACCAGTTGACAACATTACAAAATTCAAAACTTTTCCTTTTGGAACAGTCTATACTCAAATATTTTTCTAATTTTCATCAAGATCTTATACATGCTCTATAACCCATTTACCACTTTAGCTCCCTACCAAGTACTGCATTAAGAAAGAGGATGTGTAAGCACACATTTTCAGCTATGAAAATGGATTTCATTGTTTGCAGTCATGATTTTGCTCTGGAGTGGGATGGCAGGACTGGAGGGGAGAGGACAAATTCACCAAAAAGGAAGGCATTTTTCCTGGGTTTAAAGTTTTCTTTGGGGTATATATTTGGTCAAATTAATGTTTCAGTTCTAGTCAAGTTGTTTCCTTTCAGGACCTCCCCACCCCAAATCAGTAAAGAAACTTCCTACTACACCTACCAGTGATACCTGCCTGCGGGGGCGGGGCTCAGACCCAGAGGACGGAGGGGCGTGGCGTAAAGAGGTGTGGCCCGAGGGAGAGGGAGGGGCGAAATAGGAAAGAGGCTGGGGAGTTGGGGGAGGACAGGGAGGGAGGAGCGAGTTGGGCTGGAAAGAGGTGTCTAGAGTGCTAGACGGAGTTGGGGGGAGGAAGGGGCGGAGCGGGAGGGAGGAGACAGGGCGGGATGGGAAAAAAAAAACTTCCTACTAGACATGGGAGAGGGCTTTCTTGAGTTTTTACCGTGAGCCTCCTCATCCCATTGTCAAGTGTCTCAACCTTGTTAATTAGGAACATACATTGATGGTAACTTTTCCCTGCATTTACTGTGGAATTCCTCTATGCCCTTCCAGATCTCCTCACCCCATCATTCTCAAGTCAGGTTTCTTCCGAGACTGGGTCACATTGCACAGGCTGCTCTTAAACTCCTGGGCTTAAGCAATCCTCCTACCTCAGCCTCCTGAGAGGCTGGGACTATATAGGCACATGCCAATGTACCTGACTGGAGAACTTAACCACACAGAAACACTCACTGGTCGCGCTGACCCCTAGAAGGCCATCTGTTGTTAAAGGTGGCATCATGCTGGGGCACTATTAACAAGGAGCCTGCCCTACCCACACTGTCTCTCTGGCTCCTCCCCAACCCCCATGGTTCTGGTTCCATCTTTTCCTCTGTTCACAAACTACCTCTGGACAGTTGATTTTTTTTTAGTGTTTCATTCTTAGACACCAGTCACTGCTGCTACCAGTGCCAGGCATTCATCCTCCTCTGTTCTGCCACGTTCCCCTCTCCCCCCAAGGTGTTCCTCATGGGGAAGGGGGACTGGGGTGCAAAAGGCTGCCTTACTTACTACCCTAGTCCCAGGGAAGGGGGGTCCTGCCCCTAGGATGCTGCAGCAGAGGAGGTCCATGTTGAAAAGAAGGGTGTTGGGGCCGCCTTCCCTTGTTCTGTCGGAGAGGAAAGGGTTTGTCCCAGCCTGGGGCCTCCCTCTGGAGGAACACAAATTTGAGGCCAACCCAGGCAGCTTAGTGAGACTAAAAATAAATAAAAAAGAGTTAAGGACATAGCTCAGCCCCTGCATAACGCTTTGGGTTTATCCTAGCATTGGCCTCCCACCTCTCCCCCCCAAAAGGAAAAATAATAAGAGAAAAAAAATTAAGACATCATGGTAGCTCAGTGGTTCTGGGTTCAATCCCAGTATCACAAAAAAGGTTTTTTTGGGTCATAGCTAAATCTTATGGAGAGCAATAATTTTTTCTAGAAAAGTCATAAAATTTGAAGACAGTTTATAATACAGAAAGTGACATTACTTTTATAAGAGCAATTTAAAAATTTCCCTTAGAACACAGAAGTAAAAGAAATTATTAAAGAGTAATGAAAAAAAAATGAAAA